ATGCGCTGCCAGAATTTACGGATCGTCCAGTGCATCATAACCCACGCGCCCCCTAGGCCCGGAATACTCGTAGGAATTATCCGGCATAAGCGCATAGTTCAATACAAATACAACAGCCCTCATTACCCATTGAGCCACGAACACTCGGATCCAATACCGTCTTTACCATAAGGGGGCACACGGGGCCCGTGCCCAGGGCCCCCATTCTCAGAGGGCCCCGAAAGACCGACAATTTCTCTCACACGTTTATTCTCAAAACATTTTTGTCGGGCACATTACACTTTTTTCACAAATCAGTAGTCAGAAGGCATATACTATGCCTATAATAGAAGATTTTGCTCAACAGAAATCCCGAAAGAAACCGTTATCGAAATCGTAACCAAACAACCAGCAGCATTCTAATATCATTAATGACATATTATATCATCCTGTATTTGATTACGTATAATAAATGGTCATACTCAGTAAAAAAATGTTATTTTATTTAATTTTTTTTATTTTCCAAAAGGGCCTCAAATTCTTGTGTGCCCAAGGGCTCCATCCGAGTTTAAGACGTCCCTGCTCGGATCTTAGAGGCTGTTGAAAATTAGAATATGGAAATAAAGCATTGTGTGGTTTAGGATAGTTAATTTTTTTTCCAATAAAACAATTGATAACGCACAATGTAATACACGTATCATTAAAATCAGTCGTTAGGGCAAGAGCGACAGATAAAGTACGCTTTATAAATTGCTAAATGTTACAATATATCGGGTATTTATAAACATCCTCCGAAAAAATGCTGTTAATCAAATCATATCGCATTAAAGGAGGAATAACAGAGAATTTTCTGGGTGGGAAACCTTTATTCGCTTGGTGTCACGGAACATTATTTTTAAGAACAACTTGATAAGACTGCTGTTTCTCAGTTATTCTCTAATTAGTCGTTGTAAAACTCTCCACATAATTTCTATTCCGATTTCAGTATTGGCAATAAATTCAAATAAGGAACCGAATATTAGCAACACACGTATAAAAGTAATTTATATACAAAGCAGTTAATAGTACCTAATATAAGGCAGTTACTGAAAATAAAGTAGGTAAGTCTAGAGATAAGAGCGATTGGTTTCCAAATTACAAGAAAAATTTAAACGTAAGCCAAACTAGCATTGATACACCCTGGATCCTGAAACTATCAGGTCAAATAAGTATTATGATAACCACCCAATTGGAATAAAATCAGTTTAGCATAATAAAAACTATCTATCAATTATTAAATATATTATAGTAATAAAATTGAAATATAAAAAATATTATATCTATCTATTACTATTTTATGTTGTTTTTTTTGTATGAATATCCTTTATCTTTGATCTTCGATCGATCTGCGATCTCCAAGGCGTAGTCTGGAAAAGCTTCTCATTCTTCTTGGTCAGGTAACGGGGAAGCGAGCCAAAGGTAGGGCACCAACGAGACACTATAAGGGGACAGTTGGAGGCATCATCCAAGTGGATGAATGGACAGGATGGATAGATAATACTTGCATACGTGTGGTTGCAGTTCTCAGTAATGATGGAACGGCAAAGCAGAAGAAGAAGAATCCTTTATCGGAAAAAAAAATCTGCTCTAAGGAGAAATATCTTTCCAATTAAAAAAAATCATCTTAAATCGATTCTGTTGATTAGATGATTGAGACCAACCAAAGATATTATCAGATATATTACTGTTTACTTAGATCGTGTCAAGCTTAATGAAGAAAACATTATAAAATAAATAGATAACGAATTCTTAGAATTGTTAGTGACCACACTTGAATTCTGATAAGCAACAAGATATTTATAATGGTCATCTAATTCAGTATTATTTATTCAGTATTTCATTACTTCTTCTTCATTATTTAATACTTCACTGGATAGACGCTGAATTTGATATTTGTTTGAGCGCCCCGATGGTTGCAATTCGCTTACTTTCCTCAAATTGGTCATTATGAACAAAAAGGATATTAAGTAGAGGCATCCCCTTAAAACTAGTATCCAAAGAGGGAGAAGGTGTCACGAGTATTTATTTCTACATGTATATATTTTTATCGCTATGATGGGTCTACGGCCCGGCTTGTCTTAAGTGGTCATCAGGGCGCATAGACATCAGCCACGTCAATGCCACCACCTACCTTGAGACGCGAGTTCAAGTCTGTGTTTTTACAATGGCTGCCCCTGCCTTTAAACTTAAATGCATTACTGCTTCGCGGCAGAAATATGCGGGGTGGTGGTGCCCATTCATGCGGGCTCACAATACGCCCAACCATCAGTACGGTATGAGGAAGTGGTAGTAATTCGAAATTACTGTAATTGCATAGATATACAATTTTATTTACGGTATGAAGCTAATAGACGATGACCGAGCTTTGCTCGGTTTTTTTTGTTGATAAATTGGGTTTTTTAGAATTTATATTTAAATACGAATTACATATTGATAAAATGATGAAATATTCCACGATCGTTTATGCATTTTTAAGTGAACACGTGAGTTAAAAAGACACAAATAATATAAATAAACAATTCATTTTCTTGGTCTAACCTTAAACCAAACACTCATGACTTCGGGTGGCTTAACAACGCCATCTGCTGAAATAAGCAGTTAGTTGCTGGAGTCGCCGATGTAACAACTTCTTCCTACACGAGTAGTAGATAGCCGTGTCATCGACGAAGAGCGCCAGATGGGTCTCCGGAGACCGGGGTATATCGTTGATATACAGACTGAACAGTAACGGGGAGAGGGCGGAGCCTTGCGGGACTCCGGCTGTAACGTGACGGGAGCGAGAGCGCGTTCCCTCGACTCGATATCGGAACGAAGCAGAAATAGAGAAGATTCAAGGGTTTATTATATAAAGATCGGGCCTTTTTTTTCGGGCTGGAGTCCGAACCTCCTACGAGGTCCCCGCGCCTAGGGGGCGCGCGTGGTATGTGGGACTGGTCCGCGACTGCGAGACCGCGGGCCCAAGGATGTTCTCAGGGCCCTACCCGCTAAACGACTCCCCTGCACTCGTCGCACAAGCGTCCGATCCCTTCCGAGGTCAGAACCCGGATGAGGTAAGGGGGTTACCGTGGTCAACACTACAACCAGACGGTGCAGCTCAGCTCAAGGACTCCCGGCCGTCGTTTCAGAGCCTTCGATTCGCCTCGAAGGCTCCGTTGGCCGTCTCGGTACGGCAGCCCGTCAGGCGGCCCAGACGGTGCCGCTGGTGTCCCGGAACACCCCGCTGGACCAAAACCAGCCTGCCGGGTCGGGACGCAATACACTCGGTGTATCGTATCGCCTTGGCAGCGCGCTAGAGCGCTGGTAGCGCACCGCGCGGCCTCTACGAGCTTTCTTACTCCTAATCCAGAATTAATTTTTTAACCGTTCTCGAAAAAAATCTTAACTCGAATTCAGAATAAAACGCACATCGCTGAATAATAAAACGCACATATCACTATCCGTCAAATTGACAACACTAGCAACCTACAGAACGAATTTAGGGGAATCTAGCTTTTGAATTTCTCTCAACTGAGTTGTCATGATTAAAGTGGTGTTGCAACCTGTCAATTTTGAAATTATTTTGAAAATAGGAGAAATTTCCAAAAGTTCAGTTTGATCGAGATTTCTGGTAAGGATTCGAGGGCCCCCAAGCTGCCTGCCCCGCCTAGCCCCTGGGTAGCTACGCCACTGGTGGTACCTACCCGCGCGGACTGACAAGATGTCCTACCATCAGTAATTACGCAAATTATAATTTTGCGGGTCTGCCAATTGATCTAGAGACTGCTTAGGTTGGGATACTACTTTTGTATGTGTCGGAAAACTTGATCGGGTACCGATGGTCCGGGCAGGTCTTGCAGATGACGCAAAATTTGTGACGACATTCTATGGCTCAGTCCTTTGCCAGTGTTAACTCATTTTCTTTTCATGTTACGCGGTTAGGCACCTAATCAATTCAATCCTGATTCTCTCATACTTTTTGGTTATCAAATTCCTTGTTCTTTCACAGTGAAAAGGTCAAAAAAATGAGCTCTTCAGTAATAACGTAAATTCCGTCTTTCTGGAATGTTAATAGCTTCTTACACGGCTTATTCGAGGTTTATTGCTGTCATTTGCTGAATGTTATTGCAAACGTCAAGAATGACCTTTAGCAGTTGAGTTACGTAGGGCGGTTTGTTATTTCCAATCTTCGATCAATAATACTACTATTATTGATCGAAGTTTCCAATGCATGGTAATATTGAATATGTTATTTAAGTTAATTTTTATTTAAAATGTGCGTATTGGAGAAACTGTGTTCTGTTTAGATTATACTGAAAGTTGTAGTAACACAGAGGCTCCCAAAATTTGTTGTTTTGAGTGTATCAGTGAAAAGGTCGCGGGTAGGTATTTTTTTGCATGCACGCCATATTTGAAATTCATCAACATGATGTCCACATACAGTGATGTCAATGAATGAATATTTTAGGTCCGTTTACTGTTTTAAATGATTTCAGACAGTACCTATTTGCAGATCTTTGTTTCCGACTAATTGAATTATTTGACAGACTTCACTCAATGACGCTGAAGAAAAATCCTTTTTAAAAACAAAGAGTTATAAATAATAAAAGATTATTATATAAAGATTAAATACATTACTCTGTGGGTAAGTTACCGTTCGCAACAAAAATGTGAGGTGGTGGTACGTTCGAACCTCACAGTACTTAAATTCAATAACTTTAAACTAATCTAAGTTGAACAATTTAATATTGAAATTGCACATCTTGAGAAAAACTTGGGTTATTTATTACTTAAAATTCATAAGGATAATTGAACATAAATTGAAAAAAATATATTTATAAATAGGAGTTACATACAAACGTTCTTAATCCCGCTGCTGTATGCATGAGAGAAAGAGACGCAAGACAGACTGACGCCGTAACGCGCTACGTAACGAAGCGGTTTAAAATCCCATAAGAAGTTATCACTTCAAAAAATAAACATGGACACAAATGAAACAACAGATACAGTGTTATATTTAATAATTAATTTATTTATGAATAACAAAAAAAAATTCAATTATTTTATTTCCTAACATTTCTGTTGACTTTATCATAGATCTCGGGGAAGGCTTCCTTGCAATTAGGCAGCGAAGCCCGCACTCTGTCGTAAAGTTTATGGTCGAACATTTGTCTGAATTCCTCCCTCGTTGTGTAAGTATCGGCATATAGCATTTGGAAGCCTTGGTTCTGGATCACGAAGCTCTCTACGCGACGCGTCGATGCAATCTAAAAGTTTGAAGTTCATATATCAAAATTTATGTAATTATAGTCATAATTTACTGTGATTAAAATAAGTTTTCAATCATCAGCATATTGTTTGTGTTAATTAAGTTTTTTTTTTATATCTACACGTTTTGATGACTACGCGACAAAATTAAATATGTCGGAGACGGTCATTAGTTTGGTAGCTAAACGAAACGCAACACGATTCCTAAAAGATGGCGGCGCGATTGCGATACGGTATCGTCGGAACTCGGCTAACTTCGTGCTACGACAGAGCCTAGCCGATGGAGGCGCGTAGACGCCATTACAGACTTACCAACCAGCCTTCTTGTAGAGCGGAGCCTCCGTCCTAAGAACTGTCATTTGTTTTCGTTTGCTAACGTCAAGAGAAAATCTCTAAATTGTTCTAAGACAACAAACGTTATTGGCGTACTCAATATTTCTCTTAGCTCGATGACCTTATTTGCCCCTACGATGTCTGACGATGGTGTTAATAATTGTGGCTTCTCCGACATATATATAAAGTACATACTGTGTTCGTTACTGTTCGTAGTGTGTTCGTTCGTTCAAGATGGGTGACGGCATATACGTTGCTGATGTCTATGGGCTCGGCCATCACTTAAGAACAGGTGGGCTGTAAGCTCGTCCACCCATTTAACTAATAAAAATAAATAAAAATGTGCGTTGAAGCATCCTCTATGGGATACATGGAGAGCGGCATACATCATTGTCTATGGGTTCTGGTAGCCACTTAAGACCAAGTAGGTCTGAGACGAACATGTAGTAAAAAAAATATTCTTTATTTAAATTAATCTTTCAATTTAGCATCTTGTCTTACTGTTTCAAATCCTTTGGCTTTTGGAACGCCATACACTCCGATATCGACAAACATCTGTGATTCCTCGCCAGGTTTTATCTTCAGTTGTCCAGGATTGTTGAATATTTTGAAAGGACACAACCATATAGGGTATACCTGAAAAAATAACTCTCAATGGATTCCTTTCGTTTTTTTTTGTATATGAAATAATATATATAAGTAGAAAAAAAGTTTTACTTTGCAACATATTCTGTCTCTTACATAAATAAATAATATTTCGTGCTACTAAAATGCTGTAAAATCAAACCCGAACAGAGTTGATTGTATAAATTCAATTAGCAAAATTTAATTGGATTTTTTTTTATCAAATCTTTTGTATACATGATCAAGCTCAAACACAAAGTATCAGTCTCTAATACAATAACAGTTTGCGTAATTACTGGTGGTAGGACCTCTTGTGAGTCCGCACGGGTAGGTACCACCACTCTGCCTATTTCTGCCATAAAGCAGTAATGCATTTCGGTTTGAAGGGTGGAGCAGCCGTTGTAACTATACTTGAGACCTTAGAACTCACGTCTCAAAGTGGGTGGCGGCACTTACGTTGTATGGGCTATGGGCTTCAGTAACCACTTCACATTAGATGGGCGGTGAGCTCGTCCCTCACGTAAGCAATAAAAAAATAATATAAAAAAAAACACAGGAAACTTTCCTAAATATCTAGCAACAACTATACCTAGTTTTATTACACTCAAATGAATGATTCAACACGTTGATTGCGGGACCATTGTTGTAAGACTTTCAGCCAGTGCGTTTGGGGTCCTATCGAGGCAAGATCGGACTTCTTTGCAGTGCGTATGAGATATGATAAGCCTCACAAAGGACCGTTTTTAATGTGACTTATGCCCATAGCAATTTTGACAAGTCGCCTCCCATTTGGAGCCAAAGAATACGGATATGACTGCCGCATCAGAGGACTATCGCGCATTACGCATTCAACGTGTTAAAAACATATAGAGAACACACAAACAAAGAAAATTGAAATCGAAAATTCATTTCAATTGTATTTTTATTAATTAGATCCGTCTTAAAACTATTTACCTCGAATTCGTCGTGAAAGAACGCAATTGCTTTCTCCAAGAGCTCAATTGGTATTAGCATGTCTTGTATCACGTGAGCCTTGTTGTACAACTTGGTGACGGCTTCAGGCTGCGTCAACTTCAATAAGGAGACCTCCGGAGGCATCAACCAGCCGAACAGGTAGCGGAAAATAAAGTTGTTCCCAAACGAAATTATGTCCTGGTGGCAAAATTAAATTTATAAGTCACTTTACCTTTTTAATACGCTTTTATTAACTTCAGACGTATGTATGTATGTTTGTAACGGAATCTTTGAACATGATTTTGACCTTCAAAACGTCGGATTAACTCGAAATTTGATATACTTATTAAGGACCGATGACAATACAATATTTAAATAAAAATTGAAAAAATTGAAATTAAACTAAAAATTAAAAATAAATAATAGTTTAAAAAACTATTATAACAAAATACGCTTTTATAGAAAATCCAACTAAAAATGCATGGTATCAGCAGTTATAAATATTTTATGAACAGATATTAGTCTGATTTATCCTGAAAAGCACCCCACGCTTTTTTTACAATAAAATCATTTTTTCTTACACTAATTTTAATTCAAATTTATTAAAATTTATTTTCTATTTTTAGTTGGATTTTCTATAAGAGCGTATTTTGCTAGTTCTTTTAAACTATTATTTATTTATTACTGTCTTTGCAGGCCGAAAAGCACGACCCGGCTAATGGTAAGTGATTAGCGTGGCTTATGGACATATACAATGCCAGGGGCACAGCAAAATGCCTGTCTATACTGAGATTTCTAATGTAAATTCTTGATTCCACATCATCGCCGACAAGTACTTAAATAACTGAAATAGGCGTTTATTTCAAACCATTAGTTCCGACGGAGCAGCGGCCCGTCCAATGGCTAGTTAACCATATAAAGAATAATTAAAAAAATTGTTCTTACTTGCAATTCCCAGAACAGACTTCTAGTGTGACGATGGTAGTAATCTCTAAGAGGTATATACTCTATCGCGGTGCGCTTTCTTTTTAAATGCTTCTCCACTTGTTTGAAGAACCATTCCGCGTGCCACACCCCTATTGGATTGAGCTACAGGAAATAGGAAATAGTTTTTATCTAGTTTCATAGCCAGTCTAAAGAGATCCCCACAATAGACAATGACTAATATCCTGGAGTCGATACAGTATATTATATTTTGTTAATATCACTTGGCTTGATCACGTACCAATTTAATTTGAAATACACCTTTAGTCTCTTCCAAATCTGAAAGTAGATGACAAACCTCACCTTTCCATCTCTGCCGACTTCATCCACCATGTTTCCTAACATGAGCACGCCCGAGTCTCTAGTGTAAAGCAAGGCCTCAACGAATTGGTGAGGGTTCGGCTTCAAAGATTCTTGACTGAACCGCTTTGCTAGGTCGGGAAGATTGTTGAAAGGGTAATAATGTATGCGGACATACCTGTGAACAATGACGCGTAAATTTATCATATTATATTGTTACGCCGGTAAGAGTAATGGCCATCTGTCATCGAATAGCAGAAACTAATATCAAAAGAACTAGTAAAACCGAGAACGCTCGAGAAGTGCAACGCCATCTATTATCAAATAGCGGAAACACATATCGAAACAACTCGACCTATCAGGAATGTTCTCGATAATTGTAGAGGTGTCGTATCGACTATAAAAGCATTGCAGAGATGACACGATAGCAGTTAGTTATCGGATTTACTCGAAGCGAAACAGCGAATGGATCACCTGAAGCTGAAAAAGCGAATTACGAATTGTAAAGTGTTCTGTAAGTGTACAAAGTGTTAAATAGAGTTTTAGTTTGTAGTTCGGTGGAAGTTTTATTTATTCCGAACCCCAGCGCGTAACAATATTCAGAAGATATTTGAAAAAATTATGCTGAAATTACAATCAATTACAGAAATTATAATCAATGTAATACAATAAAAATTCAACCTTATTTCTCAGTGAGGACAGTGGCAGTTACGTTGATATCTATAGTCAGTTAACTATAAGCACCTTTAACAGAACATTTAACACCATAGAACAGTTAGAAGTGGAACTTACTTCTTAGCCGGAATAACTTTGATCACAACTGAAGTCAGAAATCCAAGGGTGCCGTAAGACCATGGAACAGCGTAAAATAGATCAGCGTTTTCGTCCTAAAATAGAAATAAGTATATGCCTTAGTTAGGATTATTTTTAGCATATGCTTCCAAGCTTATTTTCATTGCCCTTATAGACAGACGAGCATACGGCCCACCTGATGGTGAGTGGTTACCGTCACCCATGGACTTCAGCAATGCTAGAGGCAGAGCCAAGCCGCTGCCTAACGAGCCAAGCCGCTGTGTATTAAATGGATACCGAAAAAATCACATAATGAAGGCCCCATCCGGTTTGAAACATGAAGTTAAATTCTCAATTGTATTGCATAAAGGCGTATGGAGCATGACTTCATCTACTTAACTCTAGGACCACAGTACTACACTAAGTAATTCAGTTTGTATTCATTGCGCATTCAAACAATGCGAGCATTCCATCATTAAGTATCGGTGCCGATGCGCCACTTCGATAAAGCGGCACGACACGAGAACCCTCTCATCGTGGCCGCCGGTAACTACATTCCCGATCCTGCAGACAGAATGGAAAGCAGTCGACGTCGCCCCAAACACGTCATTTCGGTCATCATTCTTGTCGAACCCATCGCTTGCGACGAAGGGCTCGACGAGTAAATTAACCCACAGATACAGCCCACTGAGTTTCTCGATGGATCTTCTGAGCGGGTCGCGTTTCCGATCCGGTGGTAGATTCTGCGAAGCACGACTCTTGCTAGGGTTCGTGCTAGCAACGTCGTCAGGTTTGAGCTCCGTGAGCTCACCTACTAGTTAAGGTTACGCTGAAATAGCCTGTCAAGGCTATCAGCTTAGGTAAGAAAAAAAAAGCGAGCATGAGGCTGTCGTCTCGAACAAACCTTACTACAGTTAACGACAGAGCCGTCGGCGAGAACCAGCTCGTACTCCAGGCACACATGCTGAAAAAGCCCGTGGACGTGCGATGTTGTCTCCACGCCGGTCCCCATCACCAGGCCGCCGACTGTGAGTTGGTCTAACTCTGGAACAACGGGCAGCGCCAAGCCTAGCGGCGCCAATGTGCGGGACAGCTGACCCATCGTCACTAGAGGCTCGCAACGGACTGTCTGGAAATATTAAACAAAATGAGGTATATTAATATCCTCCTCCTTCAGTCGATCGCTCATTGCTGAGCATCGTGATGCGCCCGCCTGTGACCTTTTTTTGTAATTTGTAGCCTCTTATGTCGGTCAGTGGCGTGGCTCAGTCTCATGTCCAGATACTCAGATGATATTAATATAGTATTATCTATTTAAAAAACAAATAAACGGTTGTCAACCGTTATGTCTTCATGGTATCCTACAATATTTCGGACATAGATCGTAGGAACTCTGATCGTTTGGAAAGGCAGATCGTTATCGGTAAAAAAAAGTCGAACTGTAAAGCGGTGTTTTAACAGGGCGACTTATCGGATGGAAATGCTGGTCAACGAAACTCTCCACGAGGGAAAAGTAGGGATGGATGGGGAGAAATAGACTGAGAAGACCACAAGAGTCACGAGCTGCAACAATGAGAGAACGACTGAGTAGAAAAAAATTCTACATAAAAACGAACAAACGAATGAAGATTAATTAATGTTGTTATCAATAAATAGATTTATAACGTCTTTTTTTTACAAAAAAGGCAAATCATGTATGATTTCCTTCTCTATTTGCCAATCGGTAATCTTTTTTTTTGTATAGTAACTAGTTTTAATGTTAATATTTTAGTGCTATCAATATTTTTACTGGAATAAGATTTTTCGTTTTTCTAAAATGTTAATAACTAAAGGGATTAAATCTTGGCCTGGTGTTAGTGACTGTGATCGATACCCGAACATTGGACGAACACGTTTAATTAATAAACTCAATTTTCATTTACAAATTTATCAAAAAAACATGACAACAAGTTTGTAGCAATCGTAACTAGACCGAGGCGTCTATCGTATTCCCATCAAGTGGTACCTAGACTTACACCTGCTTCAGAGCTCAAATCGCTTACGGAAGAGACCAAGTCGAACTACTCCGAATTAATAAAAATCAAAAATGCAATTTAAAATTGTACAGCTCATCAATCAATTATAAAAATATTAGTTATTAAAATTCTATTGATTTTGTCACTTTTAAATTTTTGGGTTGGTTCAAAGTCGTGTGACCTACCAATAAGAGAAACTCTCACCATATTCTCTTTGTCCACCTCCAAGACATCAACTAGATTAATTTGTATGTTGGTAAATGTCCTCTTGTACATACTGTGTCGAAAAGACATTGTTTGCCACGTTGGCCGGGCTGTGCAGAGATGAGTCGACTTGTCGCCGGATAACCATTCTTTTATCTGTAATTACCATAGTTAATAGTTTTATAAAAGCAACAACATTTATTGCCACTTAGTTCCCTTAATTTCATAAGAATTTATGATAAATCTAAATTAAAAAAGCCGGTTGGTGTAAAGTTTTTTTTCTAGTCGTCGTGACCTAAAGGATAAAGACCTAAAGGATAAGATAATTTTGTCATATCGAGAGATGCCACTATGCCGATGTCCGAATTCTGCCACCATGTATCAGTAATTTTGGAGAAATACATACCTAACATGTATTCACGAAAGACAGCTGTGATGAAATATTAACATCGTACTATAAGAATTAGACCTACATATAAATTGGCGCTGTAGGTCGTAGTTACCGTTCGTGATGCGTGTACCCAATTGAGCTTGGTACTCTTTATATATTTCTGCAGTAAAACAATAATGTATTTCTGATTGAGGGTTATTGACTACAATAACGACTTCGACCTAATATACCAAGTTCCACAACGTTTTTAATTAAGCATTTTAAAAAACCTCACCTGTCTTTGAACCTCTTTGACTTTATCATCATGCATCTTTGGAGCACTATTCATCTTGAACACAACATAGTTCCTGATTATCGACCATAACTTCCATGCCGCTGACATAGGCAACAGGGCCAATATTACTATCACCCATCGATATTCCACTACGAGGTACTCCAAAAACGTTTCTGTTTCTATGGCCATTTTATTTTTTTAACTAAAAATAAAGATAATCTGATTACGCTGCCAAATGAGAGAACTGTTTTGCAATGACAATGAACTTTCAACTGTTTCTGAAGCTGGTGAATCTACGCCTACCTACGTAATCACACAATAAAGGAACATCTACCTTACTCAAACGATTTCAAGTAAAACGGTCTTGTGAAAAACGGTAAATTTAAAATGAATCGTGTTGATTAGATGATAAGGTTAATCGCATACATGATCAAACAACTCTTTGATATAAATAAATCAATTAGCTGATTAATGTATTGACAGCTCAACAGATCGAAATTTGTAGTTGCTAAACCAAATATAATCTATGTGAGACTAGTTAGATTGTTGAATGGACATAGCATAACGACTGGTTCGATTTTATGCGCATTCCAACAATTAAACGTATGTAATTGTAAAAAGCACACAGCTCGATTGAGTTTTGTGAATACGTCTGGCCTATCCCGTCAGACTGTATCGATGACAGCAATAAAACAAACGGCCTTCAGCACTGACACCGGTAATAGGTGAAGTGGGAAACAAAAGACAGAAATATTGAAAATTTCTTAGTTATTTCCTCAGATTTCGGATCGTAGACTTTATCATACTACTTTTAAGGTTTAATATCGAGTTCATTATTTTCAATTTATTATTTCAGACATTTCGAAGGTGCTTTTTCCCTCTCTACCTCTTAGCTGGTAGCCTAAGGCTGCGATTCCGGCCCGGTAGTAGATTCATTCGCGAAGCAACTGCTCTTGAGTTGTAAGGTCTCCTTTTTTTTTATATACTAACAATCACGCCACGTTAACTGGTCCCGTGGTGAGTTCGTAAAGAACTTGTGTTACAGGTATCAGATAACGGAAATAAATGTAATATTTTTATTATACACATACATATATTTAATATACATCCATAACCCTGGAAAAGACATTTTTATATTTATCATACAAATATCTTCCCTTGGCGGGATTCGAACCTTCGACCCCCTCGTGTAGTGACCATGTCACTTACCACTACACCAGACGGCCTTTGGAGGCGCTCGGCAGCTGTTAGCAAATCCCACCCCTCCTGGCTGAGCCTTTGCTCGCCTACCTGTTCTAGTGAAACTGGAAAGGCCTCAAGGCCACCAGTAATCCTTCAATCATAAAAAAACTAAGAGGCTATTCCATTTACGCCCCGACGGGTAGGTGAGCTCACGGGCTCAACCAGAGAGAATTTACTAACGCTAGCCCTAACTAGAGCAGCGCTTCGCAGAATCTACCACAGAATCGGATTCGCGACCCACTGAGAAGATCCGGTGAGAAACTCAATGAATGGGCTTGCTTTTCGTCGCCGATTAGACGGTAGTACCGTAAAGGCAGTTAAATTTTTTTTTTTTTATTGCCTTGATAGGCAGACGAGCATACGCCCCACCTGATGGTGAGTGGTTACCGTCGCCCATGGACTTCAGCAATGCCAAGGGCAGAGCCTAGCCTAGCCTAAAATTATAACTAGTGGTCCCGCAGTAGTCGAAATTCGACTATAATTAATTGGAATTGTAAGTTTGTACACTATTATGATTGTATTTTATACTTCTATAATCACAAATTTCGCCAAGACTACACTATAAACAATATTTAATCTCAATTTGACAACAGACGTCAAGAACAAAAGTTTGACAATAAATAGTAGGTATGCATGCGTGTGTGCGTCAAATACATGGNACGACGTGCAAGCTGCTCTGCACGCGTTTTACGCAAGAGCATCCGGGTGATGGAAGGCCGGCTATCCTCGACCCACGCTGGTTCTGGCCCAGCGGGGTATTCCGTAGGGTAACCCACTCTAACCGGCGCCATCTAGGCGGGCTTCGGACAGTCTGCCGACCGAGAGGGCTGGTGGTCGTGGCGCCGACGACCGCCAGTCCGACGTCCCGAGGGGGAGGGTGATGGGAAGGATGTGCTCCGCACTAAGCGCTTCACTTTCCCCCCTTTGCCTTGTCATGATTTCTGTCTCATGCGAGGTTTGGACGTTGGTTGTTGAGCGACAGGAGGTTTTAGTCAGTTCGACTCTGACATACCCCGCCCAGTATCCCCAGAAAAGGGCGGAAGTCCGGCGATTTCGAAAATGGTAGCACGGTATTAAGAACAGAACTTTTCCCACATTTACCTAATTATTACATACACAATATTATTAGAAGTATTTAGTCAGTCTTTAATCATTTATTACAAATTATCAGTTAAATATCACAGGTGCAATGACATTGTCTTATCAGTTTTACATAACAGGTGTATACGGTAATCACGTTTTGTTACAGGATTAAATTTAAATTAAATTTGTTTTTTTTTTCCTTGACAGTACTTATTCAAATAATAAATGACAATTTTCACGATTACGTAATTTTTTTTTCGACTCATGGTTCATATGATTATAAGCAGTAACAGATACTTGTCCATATATAGGCATCACATAGCGGGAACCGTTACTCACCTTGAGAAAAGGAAATATTTAATTGCATTAATGGCTAGTCCTAACCTACTAACCGGATTTTAAATGGTAAAGATCAGAGAAAAGATTCGATTGAAAATAATTTACCATATGCGTCTGCTATACACGACAATCGATGAACCGCCACGGCCGATATCAAACCACAATACTGCACACGCATTAGCTTAACACACTATCAATATACCAGATGACCTGATACAATGACCTGAGAACAGTTTTTTCGGAATCAAATAATAATTCAGTTGAAAAGCAATGCAAACTAGAATGACTAACATGCAAACATACATATGTATGTTGTTTGTAAAGACGTGTATGTGTACAGACACAATTGGAGTGAACAGAGATGCGATTACGCTTGTTAAAATAAATTGAACTAGAAAGGACGTTACCTACGCCTCGTGTGAAGTTTTGAAATTGAAACGCGATAATCCATATACGTATACAGGCCTTATTATCATAGAACCTTTTTCCAATATAAATTTTAAAGTCACGTTTCAAAGTCGATGCTGACGAAATGTTTCTGTCAATTACTTAGTTTGTCCGACTACTTATCCACAGTAGTTAGTAGGCAGCGGCTTGGCTCTGCCCCTGGCATTGCTGAAGTCGATGGGTGTTTTCTTTTTTTATTACTTAGATGGATGGACGAGCTCACAGCCCACCTGATGTTAAGTGGTTACTGAAACCCATAGACATCTACAACGTAAATGCGCCACCCACCTTGAGATACAAGTTCTAAGGTCTCAAGTATAGTTACAACGGCTGCCCCACCCTTCAAACCGAAACGCATTACTGCTTCACGGCAGAAATAGGCAGGGTGGTGGTACCCACCCGCGCGTACTCACAAGAGGTCCTACCACCAGTAAAGTGGGGTACTTAGCTTGTCCGACTATCTACCGTAGTTATATATTAGTAAGAAATAATTTGCTTTGCATCATAAAACAAAGCTGTGGCAGAGGTAAAAATACCAACTCAGCGCAGATTAAGCTACTTTTTTTTTAATGAATAATTACTGCTGGCCGAGAGGCCTTTGCAATTTTACTAGGAAAGCCAAACTAAACTACAGTCTAGGTAGAATGGTTTCAAATTATTTGAAGAAAGCTGGTAAAGAGGTGAGGAAAAAGAATAAATGAAATGTTACAGTGGCAGCTAATAACATGTTTATAATGTATATAAACAGTATCCTTATAATGTGATGATCAATGAAATAGGCCTATCTAGTAAATAATATTTATTTGTGACCTGGAAGACTATATAATAATGCCACGAGCAATCCCACGGCAATGAGCCATTGGACACGCGAGTGCCAATACACGGGGTATCACCTACATACGTCCGGAATATACCACTAGGTCAGAACCAGCCTGCCGGATCTAGACGCTATACACCGCGATCCAGTCGCTCTGCTAACAATGATATTACTCCTCAGCAGTGCGCTAGAGTGCTGGTAGCGCATCGCGCGGTTTTCACGACTGCGACGGATCGGTACGGAAAGGGAAGAGCTTTCACACTTTCTCAGCTCTTCTCCCATGACCGCGTCGAGAACCTGCTCCCTAATCGGTCCTAGGGTGGCGCCACGAGCACGCACGCCACCTCGAAGGAGACGGTGTGGTATCCAGGGTGAGTCTTGACCGGGAACGCGCGGACGTCGCAACGTGGCCACATTTTCACGTGTCAGGACGCCTCAGACCGGTGCCCCGTAGAAAAATGACCACACACCTAAGGACTAGATCGCAGTTATTATTTTTATTGAATTAACATTTTCTCTGTGCTTTATATTTGATCTCCTGTAGATTTTGGTAGTCCAAACTAGGGTTAACACAAAAACTTCTAATGCCTAATCTGTACTCGGGTCAATGTAAAAAATTGGTGAAATTTATAGTAGGCAAGACAACAGTGTAAAAAGAGTTGCCGGATTTTCTCGGTGGGTCACGACTCCGATTTTGCGAAGCACTGCTCTTGTTAGGGCTGGTATTTAAAATTCTCTGAGGATAAGCCCGTAACTTCCCCGTCCGCCCAAAGCTGGAATAGCTTAGGCTACCATAAAATAGGTAAGAAAGAGAGAAAAAAATGTTTTATGAAAAAAAGTTGATTGAATGATTTTTTCTAAGTTTACGTATCGACTTACTAGCGTTTACATAGCTTTTGATTATTATAGTCAATAAAAAAACAGCCTAGACTATTTTCGTCGAAGGTCAAAAGGGACATTATCCCTTTCGATAATAATCAATTGATATATATTTTTATAGCTCTTATGGTTGAGCGATCTCACGGTCCACCTGGTGTTAAGTGCTCACCAGAGTCCAAGGAAACTACAACTTGAATGCCGCCGATCTTCTTGAGAAATTAAGTCGAAGTCTCAATAGTAACTCTGTAACATTTCTCCCACCCTTGAAACTGGGACGCGTTGTTGCTCCACGGTAGAAACAGGTAGGTCGTTGGTACCGTGCTCACAATATGCCCTAACACCGGTAAAAAAAGCGAAAAGAGAACTTAACTTAACTTAAGGTGGTAGGACCTCTTCTGAGTCCGCGCGGGTAGATACCACCACCCTGCCTAAATCTGCCGTGAAGCAGTAATGCGTTTCGGTTTAAAGGGTGAGGCAGCCGTTGTAACTATAGGTACTTGAGACCTTAGAACTTATATCTCAAGGTGGGTGGCGCATTTACGTTGTAGATGTCTGTAGCCTGCAGTAACCACTTAACACCAGGTGGGTTGTGAGCTCGTCCACCCACCTAAACAATAAATAATAATAATAATAAAAAATAACAAAAGACAGAATCACTATTCACTATTCACATGAAGCTGTCACGTTCTTCAAGAAAATTTGAATAATCTATTTCGAGATACAGCTTAATATATATCTGATAAATGCTGATATTAACGAGTACATAATATTCTTACTACTTACTACTACTACATATTCTTACAAGAACTGTTAAGGTATATGGTGCAGTCACAAATTAATTACTATTATACTCACTATAGAGTCAAATTCTCCGAAATCAGCCCGCAATACTATATTTCTTACAACGTGTTTATCACTCCATTGCTACTGGCAAACTGTAAAATACTGTAAATTAAAGTTACATTACAAAAATCACTTTAGCCCTCGTATTCAATAATCGACCTTAAACAAAAGATTATTAAGTATTCTATTATTTATCGTACAGATTCTTCGTCGGATTCAAACGCACGTTCTTATGTAGAGGTAATAAGGTTGAATTTAATTTTGTTGATTCAACAATTTACAAATCAAAATTCAGATAGTCGTCAAAACCTATTATCATAATAATATCTTAATACTAAATGACGTGTCTATTGTTAAGCATTTTCGTTGCAAATTTTTCATTAAACGATAAAACCTTGATCGATATTAATCTAATGTAAACAAACTACCTTACTTTGCAATTACTAAAAATGATTACTAATTGCATTAATTGTTCTAGAAGGAAGGAGTTCACGGCCTACTTTTTTTTAATGCCCTTGTAGGCAGACGAGCATACGGCTCACCTGATGGTGAATGGTTACCGTCGTTCATGGACTTCAGCAATGCCAGGGGCAGAGCCAAGCCGGTGCCTACCGTTAAGTACTCTTCACAAGCCTCGTTTGAAGAAGGACATGTCATAGCGCTCGGAGAACACCGTGGAGGGAGCTCATTCCATAGCCGGATGGTACGAGGCAAAAAAGACCTCTGGAACCGCACTGTGGATGAACGCAGTGGCTCCAGGTAGTATGGATGAACTCTACTCCGGTGGCGCGCGGTGCGATGGTAAAAACGAGATGATGGAATCATCTCAAGCAATTACTCCTGCGTGATGTTAAGTTATTAATAAAACTCATATACATCACAACGTAAATGCCTTTTTTTTTCTACCTATGCTGATAGCCTTGAGAGGCTATTTCAGCTTTTCCTTGACGTGTAGGTGAGCTCACGGGGCTTAAGCCGGGAATGTTGCTAGCACTGGCCCTAGCAAGAGCAGTGCTTCGCAGAATCTACAACCGGATCAGAAACGCGACCCACTGAGAAGATCCGGCGAGAAAATCAGTGGGCTCGTAAATGCCCCATGTACCTTTAGGCACGATGTCGTGTGAAAAGAACAATCAATCTCTAACTGCATTTACGTAGACGGAACATTAGAAAATTATCAAGGTTCCGGTATAGACCATAATCAGCAGACGCGCGAAGTCCACGGTCTGTCGACGCGGGGGAAGGGGTCTTGCCGGTCTTCGCTTTAGATTGTGTCAAAAAGGTAACATGACGAAGACAATCAAATTGTAAATATTTATACAGAGTGTGTGATTATTTCACTCAGATCTGTGTTACGATAAGATAGTTTTCAGAAAACCTATTAAGTAAAATTTAATATATGTATTCTGTTAGTCCACAGACGGCCCCACTGCTAGACATGGGCCTACATGCATCTACAAGGGGATTTCACGTCATTAGAGATCCTCCCGATCCATTAACGGTACTTTTAGGTACCTCAAGCACCGGTCCCCGTTCTCATCGAACCCGTCGCTTGCGATGAAAGGCTCGACGACTGAATTAACCCATAGACACAGCCCACTGAGTTTTTCGCCGGATTTCCTCAGTGGGTTAGGTTTCTGATCCGGTGGTAGAATTTGCAAAGCACTGCTCTTGCTAGGGTCAGTGTTAGCAACACACCCGGTTTGAGCCCCGTGAGCTCACGTACGTCTAGAAGAAGCTGAAATAGCCTCTCAAGGCTATCAGCACAGGTAGGAAAAAGGGGGGTTCGCATGACCCAGGTCGTCGGTCCACCTTATGGAAGGCTTACCCACGCTATGACCGACGATACTCAGTCACCACTCGAGAACTTTTTGGCGTCAGTGGCCATCTGTTCGACAAACAATTTGCCCTGCCCCAGGGGTATTTCCCCTAAAACCAAAAATTAAAATTTTACTACGTAGGTACATCGCGTTTTTCTCATTTTTATTAAAATCAACATCAGAACACCATAATTGAGATCAAAGTGTTACTTCACGCCTGGATTAAGGATTTGCTCTAATAAGCAGTGTGCTTAGTACGAGCTTTTTAACGTTCTCGATAGCGAAAAAGTTAACTCAAATTTGTATGGAGTCCCAGTCCAGTCCATCCAGTCATCTCGTTTTTGTCATCGCGCCGCCCGACACCGGAGCAGAATTCACCCATACTGGATACCTGGAAACACGACATTCATCTCTTCCCAGAGCACTTTTCTACCACGTACCATTCGGCTTTGTAATGAACTCCCACGATGATTCCCAAGCGCTATGACTTGTTCTTCAACTAGACTTGCGGAGAGTACTCGGCAGTAAGCAGCCACTTGGCTCTGCTGCCCTTGGTATTGGTGACGTCGATGACTAATTAATTATACTAAGGCAGTGAAAAAAGTAAAACGCGTCAATATTGTCTTATATACCTTTAATGTTCCAAGATCGGTAACAAGTAAAAAAAGTGTTTTCACAAGGATTATTATTCGTTATTAAAACTACTTTTTACATCAATGTTTTATGTTAACGAATTATATCGACGAATAGAAATTAGTAGGTACCTAGTTCGTGACCAAAAAAAACTGTTAATTATTCAAAACGTCGGAATGTATGTAACAATAAAAGAATGCAAGATTAAACCGTAAAAGTACTTTTATTTATGTCTACAAATGGTGCAAAACCAAGAAAATATTCATTGTTAAATTTACATATTTTTTTCATTCACAATTTCGAATTTGGCTTCTTTGAGTCCTCGTATGCCACAGGTATCGCAGTATCTTTCAAAACAGCCGTTTCTTTTGGCACCACTATTTTCAACACACCATCAGCCGATAGCGTTGATGTGATTTTGTTGGGCTGACTTCCCTGAGGCAACTTATATTTTCTCACAAAGTGTCGAGATATGAATCCCTGTTCGTCTTTCTTTTCTTCGTGTTTCGCTTCAATCACAATAAAATCATCGGCTACCTTTACCTGAATTTGTTCAGCGGTGAAATCTTTGACCAGTAAATTGATCTCGAATCTGTCTTTTTGTGTTTTCACAATATCTCCGTCGTGCCATGGAAGGTTCTCGATCCAATCGACAGAACGAAGTACAAATTCGTCCCCAAAGTTTGACGGTTTACTTAACTGAAGCATTATTGGTAATGGTGTGTTCTAGAACTGCCGCCACTGTTAACGGAGAAGGTAGGATACTTTATCGCACCTCAATCGATAAGTAACTGTTGTAGGTATTTGTTTGCTGTCTTTGAGTTTTTATAAGTCTTTAACAGATGGCGTTGTATACCATTTTTTAATTGTATTTTTTTAAGCTAGGGAAGTATCATTATGTATGTGGCAAAATCTTTATGAAATGGTATTAACTTAACCCATAGCTCAGTGACTTAACCTCATTACCTACATACAAGCACCAGCACATGACTTACATTAGCATTACAAAAAAAACCATTCAAATTGTCTTTTGTATGACACGTTCTCTCATTGTCTATGGTTTAGTAATAATAATTACCGTAAAACGGGGTGATTGGGGATTGAGAGGTGAATGGGGAAAAAACCAAGAAAATCTTTCAACGTTCATTATTAGTTTTATATTCCTTGCAAAATCTTCCATTTTTTGTAGTGTAATATTAGAATGTTGAAAGGTCACAAAGCAACTCTGAATATGCATTACCTGCTAACTTTCAAAAAATCGCATTTCAAATTAACTTCTTGGGGTGGTAATTTTTTAGTGCTAGAAACTTTGCTCTTTTATTTCTTAACAATAGAAGACGACTGTGATTTATAACGTTATTTAGTGTTTGGGCTTTCATATATAATAAAGGGTCTAAAGGTAAAAAGTCTCAGTTGTTATTGGTTTTAATGTGTCTGTGGGTTAATTTACCTCGTTGAGCCCTTCGTCGCAAGCGACGGGTTCGACAAGAACAATGACCGGTGAGGTGAAGTGGGACGTCTCAGGTATAAATAACTACCAAAGGAGGGGTCAATTGGGATGAAAATGCATTGAATGGGGACGACTTAAGTATTAATATGTATAGGTTTGTAGGGTTGTCTATGTAGTTACAACAATCTTTTTTAAGTGTGTTGGTAAGAATTTGGTTTATTCATGATGTTTGTCTAAAACTTTTATTTAATTATTAATGTAATGTTTTTTCTTTGTTTGGCAAATATTTATATTATCAGTTACGTATTGTTTTCTATTTTTAGATATGCCTCGCGTGTACGTATCAAAGAGTGCAAAACTTTATAAGAGATAATATGATCCCTTAATATTAAAAACAGCAATAGAAGCCTATGAAATTGGGAATAAGTCTTTAGTTGAAAAACTACAATCTGGGTAGGAAGTAGGCATGGTCGTTGCGCAACGTAAAGTGTTATTGAAACTATCTTTAGACAAAATAGCGGTTAGCTAGTTTCGCCGTACTGCAATAATCTGCTAACATCTACTACCTCAATCACGTCACCGATCACGAACACAAATCACACAACGTTCAGCAATATTCGTTTATCTTCGTACCGCTCGGTCGGCAGCTATCGCGACACGCAGCGCAAACATCGGTTCGATCGAAATAGACAATAATCATTTTGTCTCTTTCACGCACACGACTGAGATGCATTTGACCTTTGACTTTAGCCCTTAAATCTCTTAACATAAGATTTATAAAATTAAATTATGAGTGCAAGTTGAAGTCGAATTTTGTGGCCTTGAACCAGTTATTCACGAGTCGCGCGTTTAGCGACAAAGTGTATTAAAAACGAGGCGCTAAGTTTTAAGTTTAATTACCAATTGAATAGTTAAAAATATAAAGTGTAAGTTGTTTAATATACATTAAGTTTATAAACCTTGTAAAAATCTGTTATAAAGTACGATACGAACTCTTTAAAGAAGTAAAGCTAACATATCCTATCCTTAAAGATAAATTACAAATAAAGTCGTAATTAGGTACTGAAATATTAATCGCCACGCTAACTCGTTCGCGTGCATTAGTTTATTGCTAAACGAAACCCGCTATTGCTCGCTACTGCAATAGCGCGTTTCAAAAGCCGCTATTTACATTTGATAGCTAGTTTCGTTTCGCTAACCGAAAATGCCACTACAGCCCACCGCTAGGAGGCAGTTACCCAGCTATGGAGACTTACTTCGCCACTTCAATCTAGACTCTTCTTAACCGGATGAAACTAAGGGGTGGTATTTTTCTATACAAATTAATCCATGGAATAACCGACACACCTAATCTCTTAACCCAGATAAATCAATATTTATATAAATGATCACTTCTTTGGTGCAACTAAATAAATTAATTAATTCATTCATTAAACCAAGTAGCGCCAGCCCTAGCAAATTTCTCTATTGAAACTAATTTCGTCCCCATTAGCCCCCATTTCTGGGTGAATAGGGATATCACATATTTTTGCTTTTTTTTGCTTAAACTGGAATGCTAATTGCATGGTTTTAAATTAAATAACAAACATACTCCCAAGACTCAATCATTTTGATCCTGATATAGAATTATATACATCAGCAACTACCCTATAAATGTTCATCAAGTTGGGATTTGTCCCTAATCATCAGGTTTTACCGGTACCTATGTGATTCGAAATACTTATCTGACTATCTGACGATTATGTACAGACTGTACGCTAAGGCGAAATTTGCGCTAAGGCGTTTCAAATTTAAATCTGAAGTAAATAAAAGAAATTGCCCACAATGTATGTACTAAAAAAAAAGTAATTCATTTAACACGTTCTCAAATCAATTAAAACCTCTCTAACGTCTGATAAACTAATAAATATTTAATATGCTTTATTAAAGTAATTAGTTATTAAGTTAGGTACCTACTACATAAACTTGACTTTTATGACAAAATATCTTTTGCTATCTTATTTTTCTTAAAATCTGTTCATAGTAATAAAATAAAATAATATTAAATAATTAAAACATAGATAGAAAATAGCTGGTAGGTGAAGTGAATTACGAAAATACAACTCAACCAATGGATATTGGTATCTATATGTATATATACAAAACAATGTATATTGTAATAGTTTAACCTTGTGTTATCTGCTTATCAATATTTTTCTACGTATTTTTAACGTAAAAACATATCTCCAAAACTGTATGTATACCTACATCTGTGATGTAAATTTTCAAACATGTCAAACGATTATGTAGCAATTGTTACGGGTGCTAATAAAGGATTAGGATTTGCTATAGTGAAAGATCTTTGTGAAAATTTTAAAGGTACTGTATACCTTACATCACGTGACGAAACCCGTGGAAATGAAGCATGTGAAATACTGAGAAAATTAGGACTAAAACCAGAATATCATCAATTAGACGTATCCGATCCTCAGAGTGTCCAAAGATTTGCATCTTACATTCAAAACAAGCGTGTTGAGATTTTGATTAACAACGCCGGCATACTGTTTTTAAAAGACGCAAAGGAACCAAAATTATTTCAAGCTGAACAGACAATTTTAACTAACTACTTTGCGTTGGTTAATTTCTGTGAAGCAATATTGCCTTGCGTCAAAGAAGGCGGGAAAATCATTAACATTTCAAGTTCTTCCGGGCACCTCTCAAGAATCCCCTCGGCAGATTTACGAAAAAGATTCATGTGCGAAAATTTGACACTAAACGAACTCAATTTATTGATGCGCAACTATATGGAAGCTGTAAAGAACAATGAAGAAATAGATGAAGGCTGGGGAGATTCGCCTTACGTTGTTTCAAAAGTAGGAGTTAATGCATATACGTTTATACTCAATAGAAAATTATCATCCAAGGGTATGTTTTTGGATTTATTATAAGTAATTTATATATTTTTTTATTTATTTAGTTGCAGAAGCTAACCCATGTACAGTAACACACAGTTGATATTCTATTCACTTTTACACGCACGTTTCGTTTAAATATACACTCTTTATTTGATATCTTTTTGCTTACGTCCAAAATTTGCTATCATTCTTTCCGTTCATTTAAATATAGTAATGAGAACTTCGTTATAGATAATATGTAAATTTATTAAATAAGACTTAAATATTAAGGCTTTGTGGCGGGAATGCCAGAAGCGTAATTGTATGACCTGGTTAATTTTGTTAATTCCGATTTAAAAGTGTATTAAATGGTGACTTCTTAAGCGCTTAGTATCTATGAAAGTTAAAACTTTGGAAAATGAAACAAAGTCGCAGGACGTGGCTTTTTGGGTTCTTCCAAAAAGTCCAAGAAAGTCTTCATAAATTCCTATTTTACAGAAACATTATTTAATTTCATCTAATCTCGTTTCATTTCCTTTGATTTGATTTCGTTCAATTTCATCCTTATTATTTCAAATAAATCAGCTTTATTTCATTTGGCTTCAAGTAGGTAAATATTGGTATAGAAAACTACATAAATGATTATTTAAAATAATTGATAAAATAAACTCGAAGCTGGTAGCAATGGCGTTGCAGAAAATCGATTGTCATATTGTAAAAAGAAGAAAAAGATAATAAATAAGAAGATTAGTCCAAACCAGTTCTTATTCAGCTTTCAATTAAAATATATTTAATTTTCATAGTTACCTATTGTTTTGATATCACCTCTCAGGTATTATCGCGAATTGCGTGCATCCAGGCTACGTGATGTCGGATATGACAAGAGGAGCCGGAAACGTTAGTCCGGAACAAGCCGCCAAATTGGTGACGGAAATAGCACTCAATTCAAAAGCCGGCGGTCTATACATATGGCATAACGGGGACACCGTCAATTGGAATGGCCCTGACCCACGCGGGTTTATAGACGGGAAAATTTAAGTAAATAATCTTTATTTTAAGTCTTTTGTATAATTTATACTATAACTAGATGATGACCGTTTTTTTTTTTTGATAACTCCATCTTGGTTAGTTACGCTCAATTAAGAAAAATAGTATTATTATTCGCCAATAGATGTCGGGAAGAATTGATTATTGAAAACACGAATAAAACATTTTCTGAAAATAAATCGTAGCTAGATCGATCTATAGCCTCCGAAATCCCCTGTATACAAAATTTTATGAAAATCGTTGGAGCCGTTTCCGAGATTCCGATTATATAAGTATATACAAGAATTGCTCGTTTAAAGGTATAAGATAATATTTAAACTAATTCTGACTTAAATTAACATTGCAATGTTCATATGCCAGACCGTTAGAACGTTTTATTATCTCAAATATATTAGTGTATAATCTATGGTCCCATAGATACAACCTACGGAGTTTTTAGTGGGTCGCGATTCCGATTCGGTGGTAGATTCAGCGGAGCACTAATCTTTCTTGGGCCATTATTAGCAATGATCTACCAGTGATTAGGTTGAAAATAAAAGTTCCATTGGTCGATATGTTGATATATCTGTATATACTATATATATACGCTCAGCGTAATTTAGAAGGCCGCTTTTCGCCTAAAAATGGTCCCCGTGTTTAGGCCATCTGCAATTGCCACGAGTCTCGTTGGAAAATAAAGTGCACTCTTGTTGGAATTAAAACAAAGAATATTTCATGTTACCATTGACAATTCCCACTTCTATGTTATCAACAAGACTGTATAAAAAAAACAATTTCCCTAAACGATATGGTACTCGAAATATACCACAAAGATTGTTACTACTTTGATAACGCATGGGTGAAGTGTGAAAGTGGCCTACAAAGTATTTACTGGTTACTGGCCCACAAACATCACAAAACAGTGTCCTGTGACTTAAGACATCAGGCCAGAGTTCTAGCTGCTAATAGTGACCTTCAAATCGAACCGCGTCTGCTTCGCGGCCCAGACAGAGAAAGTTCTTCATGAACACGTACCAAATACGCATTTCATTAGAAAATTTGACACCAGTCTGCGGGATTTGTATTTCTTTACCCACCCTTGTGTGATAGGATTCTTTTTGTTTAACTTTAAGGCAAGAGTAAGACGGCAGGCAGGCTTGTTCATTACAAGTTGTTATAAAAAAAACAAGGAAGAAATGAAACAAAATTCCCAGAAAGGAGTACAATGAATGCATTTTAAATTGACTTTTCGTTTATTACTTATCTGTGTAAGTAACATGTGAACTTTATTGTTTCTGTTGCGAGCGGAGGGGTTTGCATGAAAAGAACGAATTTAACATCTTGCTTTTAATTACTTTCATATTAACGTCACTATAAGGTACAAATGGAACAGCGAGTCAACGGCATCTCATTTATAATATAGAAAATATAATCTGTCCACAACACGGTTCACGATCCGGTAATAATAATATAATAACGAACATACAAATATTGTGNTATTGTTTCTGTTGCGAGCGGAGGGGTTTGCATGAAAAGAACGAATTTAACATCTTGCTTTTAATTACTTTCATATTAACGTCACTATAAGGTACAAATGGAACAGCGAGTCAACGGCATCTCATTTATAATATAGAAAATATAATCTGTCCACAACACGGTTCACGATCCGGTAATAATAATATAATAACGAACATACAAATATTGTGAGGCGAAACGATATAAAATATTGCAACGACCGGGCCGAATTCGAATAAATAATAATTTCCATTAAATAAAACAAAATACGTTAATTTATTTTACAAATTCCTCTGTTATTATATCTCTCTGTTTATTTATCATTATATGTGTGTTGGGGGGGAAGGTTATCACAAGTTCACTTGGCGTCGATGGGTTCGGGGCGGGGGCGGGCGGCCTGCGCGGGCGTGAAGCCGGGCGGCAGGGGCACGTAGGGCGGCCAGGCGGGCGCGGGCTGGGCGGGCGGGGCGGGCGGCGCCTGCGTCACGCCCAGCGCGTTGAACCGCACGAACATGTCGTGCTGGTGCTGCGACAGGCCGCTGCCGCCGCTCACCGAAGTCGACATGATCGCGGGGTCCATCTGCGTCCAGTCCGAGAACATCGGACTGTTCGTGTTGTACCCTGGAACAGGCTCTACAATCACTTATGTTATCGAAATGAAACGAAATTAATTGTAAGGCTTAATTTTGTATGCAGTTAGAACAGCGCCCCTAGCGGCAAACGTAGGCAAACGATCCCATTCCATACAAATATGAGCTAGCTTTTACGCTATCGAGAACGTTAAAAAACTTGCACTAAGCACACAGGTGCATGCGGGCGCCCACGTTCGTATTATATCACCAGTTCTATTGGTATAACGACTATAACGGGTATAGCGATCATAATAAAACATGTAAGCTTGTAACGCGTCCGGCACTATCAGCTGTTAAGAATTTGTTTATGCAAGACGTTCTGTAAGTACCTTAAACTAGGGATTGATGTTAGAAAATTAAATTATTTTAACTTTTGAGTAATATTTGAGTATATTCTAATTTCATTTTCGTTTTTGCCAATTTTAGGCTGTGCTATGCATTATTTTTAGTCCTCTTTTTAATTTTTCCAATAGAACACTGCCTACCATTTCCCTACGTAATACAGTCAAACAAACCAAAAATATACCATTTATGAATGACTCAAGCACTCAAAATGGGTGCCACCTACATAAGCCTATCCTTCTTTTTGTAAAATTCGTATACTGTCTTATTGAATATAATATAAATAAAAGCAATGACATCAGCAGTAGTACCTTGATGTGCGGCGTGGAGGCGCGGCCCGCCGGCGCCGTACGTGTTATTGACATGACTGAAGCCCGGCGGCGCTAACCTGGATCGACGTGCGTTGTCACTGTTATAAACAATCAAAATAATCTATATATGTTAATATATAAATGAATTGCCGTTCGTTAGTCTCGCTAAAACTCGAGAACGGCTGGACTGATTTTGCTAATTTTGGTCTTGAATTATTTGTGGAAGTCCAGGGAAGGTTTAAAAGTTAAATAAATATGAAAATGCTCGGAATTAAATAAAAATAACAATTTTGTTTTCCCTTTGATGTGTCCCCCGTCCGTCCTTTTGTTTGTTTTAAGTTTATTTTATACAAAAGTTTAGATCTTTTATTTATCGATTGAGGCACTACGAAGTCTGCCGGGTCAGCTAGTAACAAATAAATACATAATCATNAAGTCCAGGGAAGGTTTAAAAGTTAAATAAATATGAAAATGCTCGGAATTAAATAAAAATAACAATTTTGTTTTCCCTTTGATGTGTCCCCCGTCCGTCCTTTTGTTTGTTTTAAGTTTATTTTATACAAAAGTTTAGATCTTTTATTTATCGATTGAGGCACTACGAAGTCTGCCGGGTCAGCTAGTAACAAATAAATACATAATCATTTATTAACAAAGCCAAAATCATAGTTTGAATTTTCATGGAGCAAACAATAGGCGCCTGTTAAGAATAAATAAATTCAGACATTCAAATTAGACAAATAATGTTTTTTTAAAAAGAAAAAGAGAAACAGCGTGAATATATTTATAAGATTTTTTTCAGATTCACCAAACACTAAACGTCGTAAGTGACTATTAAAACGGTGTACTAAATACATACGAATAACGTCATTAACTGCAATTTGTTAGCGTGAATGTGCAAACCCACATACTGGGCTTAAAAAGGATCTCATCTAAACAAGAACCTATGTGAGCATGGACCACAGCGACCACATTAAAGTGCGTAGGAAATGTCACCATCCGATACCAAAGCGAGTCCTTAGAAGTGCAAATAAAGTTAAGAAGGTTTTTAGGAAGCGAATAATATGTATATCTACTAATTTAATAGTACCATTTGTTTTTTATACTTATAAAAAATAGGGTAGTATTATATATTGTAGTATTGATTTTTTTATTGCACGGCGGACACGACTAGCAATATACTTAGTGATCATCATGACTCATGGACGTCTGCAATGTCAAAGACAACGCCCAGCCCTTGCTTATCGAGTAAACGCAATTATCTCGACATAATATTTTTTTTCTATAAATTCTCTCCAAATTTATACATCGTAACTAACCCGCCCGAAACGGCATTTTGCATCATTTCATTCTCCATGAGTTCCGCAAACGCTTTCTGTGTCTCTTTAAACGGATCGAAGTCTAAGTCGTCGTCGCCATCGCCCGCCGCCCGGCCCGCCGGCTCGCCACTACGTACATTGTTCATTCTGAAGCAAAATTATGACGTAAGATTATTAATATGAACGAATTCAATATCTGAATTAAAAAAAAAAAGCACGCGTTGATACAATTATTAACGGGGGAATTCCCGTGCATCAATTACGACATCGACCACATCACAAGAAGTCGGATTGCAAGAAACAAACATTAAAACATGGGCAACTCCACATCATTTCAGATCCTCCCGGCCTACTAACAGTGCTTTTAGGTACCTCAAGCACCGGTCAAGTACCCCAAGCATCGCAGAGTGAATTAACTCACAGACACAGCCCACTGAGTTTCTCGCGGGATCTTCTCAGTGGGTCGCGATTCGGATCCGGTGGTAGATTCTGCGAAGCACTGCTCTTGCTAGGGCCAGTGTTAGCAGCTTCACTAGATTTGAGTCCCGTGAGCTAGTCTACTCATTCGGTGACGCTGATATAGCCTTTCAAGGCTATCAGCATAGGTAGAAAAATTTGACTAACTTTAAAGGCAACTGACTGAAAGTGAAAGGGTGACAAGGTCGTAGGACCATTTAAAGTTATCGCTGGGTACTATCTGGAGGAAAATAACAGCTTATAGACAGCAATAGAGAAAGCTGAGCGAGACCTACGCCTCCATCCATACACAGCTAATTTACAGACCGATTGTAAACTTGTTTCAACTAATATTGTCAGTTCGGAAAAAGAGCCGCTATATTGCTATTTAAATGCTGCGGGTTCCCTGGATCGCATCGGACCAACGCATCAATCCTGGAAGAATTAGGCGTCTCCGCAAGACTCTCCACCACTTGCCTACGTAGGACTTCCGAGTTTTTCAGTCACGTTGCGAGGAAAAAGAGTGACAATCTCGAAAGACTACTCATCACTGGCAAAGTGGAAGGAAAGAGACCTAGAGGGCGTAGTCCCATGCGCTGGTTCGCTCAAATTAAGAAGATATTGGACTTCAGTATCAATGTCGCTATCCACTGCGCAGAGGACGGAGGGAACGGAGGAAAATAGTCCTAACAAAAGTACTCCGTAATGGTCACGACCCTCAACACTGAGGAACACGACGCAAGGAGGAGGAGGATATTTTATTAAAGCGTATTCATTTGTGTCTCGATTATTACAGCAAGTATCAAATCGTTAAGACAAGAAAATAGCATTTGTTTAGGAACCAATTTAATAATGTAAATAAGAGGCACGTAAGGGGGCGTCCATTAATTACGTGAGGCGTTTTTGAGAATTTTTGACCCCTCTCCCCCCTTGGTGAGATATCGTAAGATTTTTCTCAACTCCCTCCCCCCCCCTCCTCTAATCTCACGCGAGGTTCTTCAAAACATGTAGACTTCAAAACTTCAATACAAAGCAGGCTAGAACGTGTACGCGCGTCGCTGTTATTCGGCTCTATACGTCGCGATGTTTGTCGACTCGCATGTGTCGATAGAGCTAAATAATCGAGCGCTATTTCGCTGTTCTGCGAAGTTCGGACGAATACGAAAAATACTATTTTCTCAGATTTGGCCATATTTTATTCTAGAAATAAAATTTCACGCAATTTTACACCGTTTTCTGCGAGAAATATAAATACGTGATATTTGCCAAGAACACAAACACCTCATGTAATTCATGGACGCCCCCTAACGCGATGCCATAACCAGGCAGATGGTCAGATCTAGTAAGTAATGCACTAGGTGGTAGTCTGTACCGTGCGGTCCATGCCAGCCATGACCGAGCACTGTGGAGGAACGTCACGTGTGGTCGCGATCCTCAACAGTGATGGAACGATATAGAAGAGGAACGTGTTATCTCTGTGTCACTGTCGCACGCGACCTTTTCAATTTAAAGAGTACGACCGGACTTTTTGACGGTAACGCGAGGAGTGGAGTTGTGTGATTTGTTTTATTTTGTCTATTTAGTGTTTCTTCAGGTTTAAATGTGTAATAACGGTGGTTTATTAACTGTTTAATGTCTGTGACAGTGTACAAATGTGGGAAAATGAAACAAAGCCGCTAGACGTAACTTATCGGGCTCCTCCAAAAAGTCCACTGAAAAAATCTCAGTAAATGACCACCATTTTACTGAGATTATATTTCATCCCATATCATCTCATCTCATTTCATTTCATTTCCCTCCATATTATCATTGTTCATAAAAATTAGAATATAAGTTAAAATAAGACATGACTTAAAGGTCTTAGTTACCAGGGTATAAAATCTCTTTAAAAATAATACGTGTAGTAACAAAGCGGCGTCACCTCTGCTTGTGTTCCATCTCGAGTGCCTCCGCGCTGAGCACGTTCCGCGGCAGCTGGTAGCGCCGCTCGTCGCCGGCGCGCGCGTGCAGCCGCAGCTGCTGCGCCTTGTGGAAGTCCGTGAAGAACTTATCCATGTTCTCCGCTAAATATCGACCTTCGCTCTGTAATCGATAGAGGAACTTTACTCCACGCGAGTCCCGCGGCACCAGGTCTACACATTTAAGTCTTCATTCACAGACCGAGACTAGACTAATATTTTGCATTGTTGTGAAGTATTTAGGGTGAAGAAGGAGGAGGCGTGTGCGTGTGTTGGTTGTCCGTTGTGCGCTCTCCTCCGGAAACTTCATCGGAGCGATCAATAAAACATTACATTACATGTTTATTCGCGCCAACGACCACGGTGGATCGTTACACGTTAACCACTGACTGACTAACGTATGTTGCTCATTACTACAACTGCATAGTAAGCTAAGCGGTGCGGGGTATACCAAAGTTTACGTGTGTATATTTGTCTGTTTGCCGGGGTATAATGGTAAGACCGCGCGGGTAGGTACCACCACCCCGCCTATTTCTGCCGTGAAGCAGCAATGCGTTTCGGTTTGAAGATTAGGATAGCCGTTGTAACTATAGTTAGACCTTAGAAATTAATATCTCAAGTGGAAGTCCAGAGAAAGTTTGATAAATATGAAAATGCTCGAATGAAATACAAACAAACAATTTTGTTTTTCCTTTGATGTGTCCCCCGTCGAACGGATTCCTTTTGTTTGTTTTAAGTTTATTTTATACAAGTCTTTTATTTATCGATTGAGGCACTACGAAGTCTGCCCGGTCAGCTAGTATCTATATATTAATACGTAAAGCAAAAACTTTGTACCCCTTTTTACGAAAATTGCGCGGACGGTGGGGTATGAAATTTCCCACACTTATAGAGAGCATAGAGAATGAGTACACAACGCTAATATTTTTTTAAAATCATGCATAAAAGATAAATTAAATGAATAAAGAAAACATTACACACACTACCATGTATTTGACACACACACGTATGCATATTATTTGTTTATTGTTAAACTTTTGTTATTGTTGTCAAATTGAGAATAGATTAAATATCGTTTTGTCTTTAATAATAATTGTCTAAAGTGTAGTCTTGGCGAAATCTGTGATTAAAGAAGTATAATAAAATCTTTGACAGCAGAATCATAATAGTGTATAAACTTATAATTTCAATAAATTATAGTCGAATTTCGACTACTGCGGGGACCACTAGTGGAATATAATTAGCCAATCGTGTGGTGCGGGGCACGTACGTTGTGTGCGGCGTCGAACCCGTTGAGCAGCGCGGCGTGCGCGGCGTGCGCGGGCGGCGCGTGCAGCACCTGCGGCCGGGGCAGCGCGTAGGGCGGCAGCGCGCCGAACGCCGGCACCATGCTGGGGCTCCGGTGGTAATTAGCACCTGCAATGCACAGACCACGGATTCAATCTAAGCTTACGAGGATGCCGCTATCCAACTTGGAACAGTATATTGTCCTCCTCCTTGCGTCGTATTCCTCATTGCTGAGGGTCGTGACCACCCTTTTGTATCACCTTCACACGTACGATCTTTCTCCATCTATTCTTGTCTCTGGCGGTGTGGAGGGCGTTGTGAAATGTGGAATCAAGAGCGGTGCGGATCTGGTCGGACCTACGTATCGGGCTGCACCCCCGAGGTCTTTTCCCATCTACCTTACAGTATATTGTAGCGAGTACGCAAGTACTCACACTCGACTAAGCTCAGCTCCACATCGTATACTAACAAGTATTGTTGTCCAATTGTTTTGTGTATAAGTGCATGTGATCTTTATATTCATTGTGAGTCTCTTGTGAGTCCGCACGGGTAGGTACCACCGCCCCGCCTATTTCTGCCGTGAAGCAGTAATGCGTTTCGGTTTGAAGGGTGGGGCAGCTGTTGTAACTATATGGAGACCATAGAACTCATATCTCAAGTTGGGTGACGCATTTACGTTGTAAATGTCCATGGGCTCCAGTAACCATTTCAAAACCAGTTGGGCTGTGAGCTCGTCCACATACCTAAGCAATTCAGTTAGCATGGCACTGAGAACAAAATGGATCTCACCTAATAGTTCACTAGCGGATTCCATTCCTATACTGGAGGCGGGCATGTAATGCTTAGGCTCGACCATGACGTTGTGTTGCCGCGCCAGCAGCTCCCTCTGCCGCAGCAGCATGTCGCTCTGTTCTCGTTCCCTCAACAGCATCTCCTTCTGGTCCAGCAAACCCTGGTTCATTTGACTAATTGGCCTATCGTTAACGTAACTAATATCTCTGTCCAGTAATCCGTAGCCGTTCAGCACGGGCCCCTTGAGCTGCGGCAGCAGGTGACCGCCGTCGACGAGCCCGGCCAGCATGTCTCGGTGCCTCTGCATCATGAGGGCGTCGCCGGCGTCGTTGAGCAGGTCGTGGGTGTCGTCGTCCAGCAGGCTGTGGTCGCTGCTCTCCAGCAGGTCGTGGGTCTCCAGCAGGCTATGTCGATCCGATTCTAATTCGTCCAGGTCATTGGAGATGTAGTTGTGTTGCGAGTCTGTCTCGAAGACCGAGGAGTGCGGGCGCGGCGCGTCGTCCGCGGGTCCGCTGTCGGTGCTGTGGCTGGGCTTGTGTTTGGACTTTTCGTTTTTACTTTTCTTTGTGTGTGTGCTCGTGCCGTTCGTGTCTTTATTTCTCGTTCTGTTTGTGTCGGTGTGTGTCTCTTTAACGTTTCTCGTTTGTGCCTGCTGCTGTGCCGTGTCCGTGTGCAGTTCCGTGGGACTGGACGACCCTGATATGCCGTTTTCTTGTGACTTAACTAGAAATAGAAACAACGAATCTTATCCATCTATACTAATATATAAATCTGCAGTGGTTTTTAGGGATGTTTCGTTATAACTACTGAGCTAAACTTGAAACTTGGTATCCATGTAGAAAATACATGTACTTAATGGATAGGCTGATATTTATATGAGTGTTGGACTCCCTACACCAGTTGCGGGGGCGTTAATGATGAGAATCTTTGTGGGGGTGAGAAATAATAATGTTAATTTTAAATGGCCAGCGAAGCGGACGGGTATAGCTAGTTTCAATATATTTACATAATAAATCATGTTTATCTACAAAGAACATTTCAATCTCTGCCAAAAAAAAACCTGGACTTATCGCCTTAAAAACTCAATTTTTTTAACAATACACAATCTATTGTAATCTTTTCGACAATATCATTAACGTCACAGCCTGATTAAACTTTCATGAGATTACATGTTATCGAAAATGCCATGTGATGACCTTGTTGAATGTAAATAAACATGGTATACACTACACAACATATACAAGCTTTCTAATTATTTTAAAATTCTAATAGGAACATGCGATAACCGTTGGAAGTCAATAATTTTAACAACCAGCATCAGAAATTCGACCATAATCACTGACTCCTCAAAATTTAGAATGAAAATATAAGACTTGGCTTAAAGGTCTCGTTACCGGGCCATAAAAGTTTTAATAAAATAGATTCTACCAAGACTAAATCTCGAAAAGTTTAAAAAAAATTGGTCGACAAACCGCAGAGGTTATGGGTACTTAATTGTTTTGTCTTTGCCTATATACGTATGTAGGTATATAGATTTTAGATCACCATCGTCTGTCGTTTTCGACAAAACTAAATACATAATAGTCTTGGTATACGTTAAAAGCATGTTACCTTCTTTTTTTAAATACTATAATGTTTAATAATACTTATTTTAAAAATCAATATTTACTTTGATTTGAGTCCCGTTTTTTTTTTATTATTATTTTATATGCACAACTCAGGGCCTACTCAGAGGCCGTTTTTTTCTTATTAGTATCAAAAAATTTACAAGTCACAAATTATTTTAATTGTTGTCATTATAAAATCACTCAGGCTTGTAGATGTTACTCTTGTCCACCTCTACCAGTGCTCTTGTCCATCAACTTAACTGCCAACTTTAACCTAACCTCATTGGAAGGGTTTGATAATACTGATCCCAAACCTCAAACCAGAACGAATGACTGCTTCGGTGCAGAAATAGTCAGAATTAGGGTATCTACGGGTCTGTGAGCTTAGGATACGCCCTACCACCTTTTTTTTCCTACCTAAGCTGATAGCCTTGACAGGCTATTTCAGCGTAACCTTCACTAGTAGGTGAGCTCACGGGAATCAAACCGGAGTAGCCCACCACCAGTAAATCGGTTATCAATCGCAATACCCTTAGACCAGGCGATTGTCCATTCGCCGTGGACCCTTAAGGTTACTTAGGACGGGCCCTCGGGAGACAGGCGGTTGCTACTCTAGACACCACACAGTACAGTTATGTAAGTACAGTTGAAACATACCGTGTAATTGTTGTGGTTTCGGACTCGTTTGTTTTCTGGCGGGACTATCTGAAGGAGGGGAGGACCCGAGGCTGGGCCAAGCTTCCTTCCCGTTGGCACTGCTACCGCTACTACTGCTGCTGCTATCACTGCTGTCGCTCCTGCTACTGCTACTGCTGCTCGAACTGGTACTGCCATTCGCACATTCCTCTTTAGATCTATGAACAATTATTTTAATGGGACTGGGAGACGGTAGGACCTCTACTTACTGGTGGTAGGACCTCTTGTGAGTCCGCGCGGGTAGGTACCACCACCCTGCCTATTTCTGCCGTGAAGCAGTAATGCGTTTCGGTTTGAAGGGCGGGGCGGCCGTTGCAACTATACTGAGACCTTAGAACTTATATCTCAAGGTGGGTGGCGCATTTACGTTGTAGATGTCTATGAGCTCCAGTAACCACTTAACACCAGGTGGGCTGTGAGCTCGTCCGCCCATCAAGGCAACAAAAAAAAATAAAAAAATACGAGTTTGCTTGAGCTTCAATATCTTATGAGAGAATGCAATTAGGTCTTACTTTATAAATCGTCACGCATTGAAAGCGTACTATCATTTGTGAAATTATATCGATTGACGAGTCTCAGTTAAATGTAACGGTTAAGTTGAAATGTATCTATACATTATTCACTAAAACAGACACCGCACTTGAATGTTTTCATTTCAAATCTCGTGTACTCACTTAGAATTGACTACGTTGTTTATATGTGACGATGTGACCACTGTCGTCGGTATATAGTTCGATTGATTACCTGAAATGGGAAATGGGTAATGGTATATAGAAATATATATATATATATTTTTTTTTTTTTTTTGTTAAATAATTTTTTTAATACTGAGACCTTAGAACTTATATCTCAAGGTGTGTGGCGCATTTACGTTGTAGATGTCTATGGGCTCCAGTAACCACTTAACACCAGGTGGGCTGTGAGCTCGTCCACACGTCTAATCAATAAAAAAAAAATGATGGGACAGAAAAAGTAAATTGGTCTTACCATCTTTTGAACCGCTCTTTTCTGCATTCGTACTAGAATTACCTGTGGGTCAGTTTAGTAGATATTAAACCATTGGATTTATTAAATGAAAAAACAAAAAATATATAGCTGTGTCAATGATTTTTTTTTATTGCTTAGATGAGTGGACGAGCTCACAGCCCACCTGGTGTTAAGTGGTTACTGGAGCCCATAGACATCTACAAAGTAAATGCGCCACCCACCTTGAGATATAAGTTCTAAGGTCTCAGTATAGTTACAACGACTGCCCCACCCTTCAAACCGAAACGCATTACTGCTTCACGGCAGAAATAGGCAAGGCGGTGGTACCTGCCGTGCGGACTCACAAAAGGTCCTACTACCAGTAAAAATGGTTTAAGAATCTTCAAAAAAATTGTTCAATGTCCAGTCCGGGATGACTAACGTGGATTGTATGAGAGATGTCGGGCTGCCGGAACTACTCAGGGGCCGCATGTCGGACGTCGACCAAACTATAATTAAATCCTTCATACCGTTCTCATGTAAAAGCAGAAGTAGGGTTTCCGCAAAAACTTGAAGTTTAAATTAAATTTTATCAAAATAATGATTTGTTAAGGATTAAAATAAATACCAATAGAGGATTGAAAATTATCCCCGGGTTTGCTGTTAACAAATGAATTATTAACGCATCTCCATTTATTTATTTATTTTCTTTTCCTTCCCATGCTGATAGCCTTGAGAGGCTATTTCAGCTTCACCCTAACGTGTGTAGATGAGCTCACGGGGCTCAAACCGGAGTGTTGCTAGCACTGGCCCTAACAAGAGCCGTGCTTCACAGAATCTACCACCGGATCGGAAACGCGACCCACTGAGAAGATCCGGCGAGAAACTCAGTGGGCTGTGTCTATGTTATTCGCTCGTCGAGTCCTTCGTCGCAAGCGACGGGTTCGACGGGGACGGTGAGCAGTCGCATATCCATATTGTTTAATCTTTGCTACCTTATTAACGTTGTTAATTATTACAATTATGATTTGCCTAATGACCGTTAAAGCTTATCGACAAAAAAACAACACACCTAATGCTACGTCACAAGTAAGTAAAACGTGAAATGTAATAGGAAAGAACCTGAACCGTTAAGTTGCTTGTCCTCGTTGTTTTTATCCCGTTGCTGCGAGGCGAGCAGCTGATTGTGCAGCTTCCTCTCGTAGACCTGATGCAGGCCGGCGTGCATTTCTTCCTTCGTGAAGGACGCCTTCGGATCACCTGAAACATTGAGATCGGTTGACTAATATCAATCAGGTTCAAAAAAATTTAAGTTATTTATTGCACTCCTATACTTATTACGGACGTCGTTTCACCAAATGGGTATTTTAAATCTTTATCTTAATCATTTTGGTCTAAAGTTAGGATATTCAGTCCATGTCATAGATGTCCCCATATACATATAGTGACCCCGATATGAATGCGTGGGGGACTCAAATGCTATTTAGATTACCTCTTATCACAGTCCTAACCAATCATGAAACCCATTCGGCATTACCAGTGCAACATTTTCTTTAAGTAACCATAAACAAGATGTGACCGCCTATCTCTGCCGTGAAGCAGTAATGCGTTTCGGCCTGAAGGGTGGGGCAGCCGTTGTAACGTAACTATGCTGAGACCTTAGAACTTATATCTGAAGATGGGTGGCGCGTTTGCGTTGTAAATGTCTATGGGCTTCAGTAACCACTTAACACCAGGTGGGCTGTGAGCTCATCCACCCATTTAAGCAACGAAAAAAAAAAAAAAAAAAATAGTGATCCTGATGTAAATTCATGGGGGACTCAAATGCTATTTAGATTACATCTTATTACAGTTTCAACCAATCATGAAACCAATTCGACATTATCAGTACAACATTTTCGTTAAGTAACCCTAAACAAGATATAGTGTTTACATTAGCTAGAGGTGAATGAACTAGCTAAATCAGGTGTCTCACCTAGGTCGTGCAGGTACATACAGTCGGGCTTGGGACAGGGCTGGTTCTTCATGAAGTTGGCGCAGTACTTGGTGGTGCCGAGCGAGCCCTTCAGCACTCGTCCGTCGAGCGTCACGTTGTTGACGCCCTGGATGGCACGCAGCGCGTCCGCCGACGACACGTACGTCACGTACGCCGACGCGGACGGACCCTGCACCATCGTAATTAACAAAACCAAATCTTAGCTCTGAGTAATAATCATCAACAAAATATTCCTGGAAGGAGTGTACTGGGTGTTAGGAGATCGCTTCCAAAAACGAAAATTTTGTACCTACAAAGTTCTGCATCAGCTGTTTTTGATTTTGTGTTTCATTGCTGTTTTTTTTAGTAATATATTTTTTATGAAACTATCGTTTCATTTAGCTGTACTAACATTATGGAGCGTAAATAATGCTAATAAAACGTTTTAAAAATGTTTTTTTAATCAGAACTGATTTCTTTTCCCTCCCCTCATCAAAGGTGTCATTAGTACTATCGTCTGTGTTCGTATTCGGTCTCCTAACACCTAGTATAGTAGACAGAAGTGGTGACCGGGGCCACATAAATACCCATCGGTGGCCGTGACTTAAATATTACCAAATGATTTGGGAGATCAAGTAGCTTATTTCCAAGTTTATTACACTTTGCCTATAATCTACCAATACGAAATTATTTAAAATAGTACAAAGAAATATATCTACAAACAAATACTGAATACATTCATGGTACCAACGAAAGTATTTCTCAATACACTCATGACACTATTTTGTAAAACTTCAATTTGTCTTATCAATACCTTTTAATTGCCTTTGAGGCGGACAATATTTTTTTTCTGCAAGTAATTTTAGTGCAATGAGACTATTATGTGCTTTCAGGCATTAAGCCGGTCTTCAAATAGTGTTACCAGAGGCAGTAACTACATGTAAGTGCAAAATGTACTTGTGTCTAAATCACAAAACTTTACATAGTTAATGATGAAGAGGATTAAATGTTTCAAATTTGCTTTGAGTCCTAGATTTTTTGTAATAGTAATTTACGAAATATTTTAAACAGTACAATTTTAGAAGTTAAATGTTGTAACTTTTAAGATAATTGTAAGTATAAAAAAAAAAAAAATATTATTATTTATTACTAACCTGTGACCCTGCATATGTCGTACTTTGGTTTATAACTACTTTGTGAATTTTGCCATACTTTCCAAAGTACTCTTGCCGTTTTAAAATCTGAAATCATAATAATAAATTATTTTAACTCCGCAATTAAGAACCACTACTCGTTTACGAGAGTTTTCATCAATATTAGTCTCTAAAAAAATCCCTTAAAATATATGTTCTGTTCTATCACTGGCAGCGCTATTATCACCAGGAATTATTATTTAACTATACAGTGCCTTTTATTTAGTGCACGTACACGCTACTATGAAAGACATACTGTTTATTCATGATAAAAACCAGCAAACTTTTTTTTTTCCTACCTAAGCTGGTATCCTTAAAGGCTATGCCAGCGTAACCTTAATTAGTAGGTGAGTCCACGGGGCTCAAATCTGAGGACGTTGCTAACACTAGCCTTAGCAAGAGTAATGCTTCGTAGAATCTACCACGGAATTGCAAACGCGACCCAATGAGAAGATCCGGCGAGAAGCTCAGTGGACTGTGTCTGTTAATTTACTCGCCATACCCTTCGTGGCAAGCCATAGGTTCTGCGACCGGGCCAGCAACCGATTCATAAATGAGTTTTAAGGAATTCATGAACTAATAGTGGACGCTTATTTGACTCGTGAACATGGAAACTTAATAATGAATCGTTCGTGAGACGTGTAGCCACATATAGTACAGTGTACCTCCGGGTCTGCGAGTCTGACGGGCAGGCCCACGACGAACACGAGGTTGTTCTGTACGACGCGAACGTTCGCGAGCGCACGCCGCGACTCTAGCGTCTTGTTGCGACGTTTCTGCTCGCGGGCTTTCTTCTCCGTCTTTATCGCTGCCACCTGCAAACGTATTAACCAAACGATACTATAATTATTATTATTTATTTATTTTGTGATTGAAAGATTACTGGTGGCCCGGAGGCCTTTCCGGTTTCACCAGGACAGGTGGGCGAGTAAAGGCTCAGCCAGGAGGGGTGGGATTTGCTAACAGCTGCCCGAGCACCACTGAAGGAGACCTAACAATTAAGAGCAGCTGCTTCGCGAATGAATCTACTACCGGATCGGAATCGCGACTGGCTAAGAAGATCCGGCGAGAAACTCAGCGTGCTGATGCATGGGTTAGGTTGCATGTCGAACTCTTTGTCGAGTTCGACGAGTACGATACTATTATTGTCGTGGCATGCAAGCTCTTTGACAGGACATAAGACAATACTACCACGACTAGACACAGACTAAGACAAAGACTTGACAAGAATTCGAAAAGAAATGGAACGAGGGCGGACGTGACTAGAGACAGGCAGTATTTTTTTTTTGACTTCCTAAAAGACGGACATAAATCAGACGACAAGGAACGAATTGACCGTTCTCATGTTTTTTTTTAATTTTTTATTATTACTTTTATGGGTGGACGAGCTCACAGCCCACCTGGTGTTAAGTGGTTACTGGAGCCCATAGACATCTACAACGTAAATGCCGCCACTCACATTGAGATATAAGTTCTAAGGTCTCAGTATAGTTACAACGTACATACAATAGACGACAAAAGAACTAACCGACCGTTCAATTATTATATGTGGATTTCCAAAAAATATATATATTAATAAAATATATTGATATTCTACAACTTAGCATTGGTAAAAATCAATTATCGAATTTACATAAGAGTCTTTCACAAATCACAAACAATTATAAACATGACAAAAACAATTAGGATTAGACAAATTAATAAATTAAAATAATAATGGTTATGTGGAAAAAAGTAATTAGTTACATAGAAATTGAACATAATTGTTACAAGAAATAAATTAAATCATTATCATTATTATTTTGCAATCAATTATTTAATGTTCTCGAATTAATTTAGAATGTGCGATTAGTGATGTAAAAAAAAACACTTGAAAAATGGATGGAACTTATTTAAAGTCCACAAAAAAAAATATACTGTACCTGCTCTTGACTGAGAGGAATGAAGTCTGCCGGGTTTTCTGGGTATGCCTTCCGACAAGCTGGGCAGAGGCCGTTCTCGCCTTCTCGAATACGATTCCAGCAAAACCGACATATCTGCGAAGTTAAATAAGTCTTTAGGCTCGGAATAAATTTTTTATAGGACCGAATGTGTTTATTGGTACACAACGTAAATCTAATCTGATCTGATCTGACTAACCTAGCTTGTTTCTTCTTTATTGCTCTAAATAAGTAGAAAAGTTTATGGTCTATCCGATGTCAAAATGTTACGAAAGCTCATAGGACTCACAATCCTATGGAAACGGACAGGATGGTGGTACTCATCTGAAATGCTTTATGATAAACCTAACCAATAGCAGTAGCGAATTTATTTCATTGAATTAGAACAGTTATTTTTTTCATTAATTAGACATGACTGAAAGTTTACTATTTATAAATTCAGTGTGTTACAGTATATCTTACTTGGTATCCACATGTACACGGGTAGAAGTGGAGGTCGTCCACTTCCAAGGGTTCCATACATAGTGGACATTCCACCTGAAATTTAAAATAAGCCATTGAGTTTTTTTTTTAATACTAGATGGTTTTAGAGTCAAGGGACAAAATTATCCATTAAGTAAATTATGATATGACTGATTGTATGTAAAAATTAAATTCAAAATATTTTACTTATATAGGAGTTTTTTTAATTTATGTTTTAAATATTCACATAGATTAGATAAGTTATTTGGGCACAAGAGTGGACATTTAGCAGGCTTATACATCACTTTGCTAATGGCAACGGTAAAAGATAAAATAGAACACTAATTAATTGAGCATCTAAAATGATTATTTCATTTACTTTAGATTAAATTAACTATTTTGGCTTCAAATCGTATTCTAATACCAAATATGGTTTATTATTAGAAACGGAACTTTAATTAAATGAGTTTCATTGGTTTCACTTACACAAAGCTATGTATGAAGATCTATAGAAATCTAAATTTCTTATACTGTAATAAATTGAGGAGGTTTTGTTTGTTTGTTTGTTACATTTAACTTGAAACTTGTACCTTTGTTCTATAACCCGTAAAAGCCACAAACTGCCTTAGGCATAAAAATCACATTCCCACTCAATGCTCGACATCATTCGAATCAGAATACATTATTGATTTGCTACATATGAAAATGGGAGTTTTTAAAGTTATTTATAAATTTTGCGTGTTTTATACTAATTCCATCATTTATTGTTTTTTTACATATGCAAAAGACAATAATTTTATACTTATTATTGCATATTATTCACTACTAAATTAGACTAAATGATAAGAAAAAAGAATCTTTGATAATTTGGAGCTTCATTTACACAATTCAAGAAACAACCAACAAAATTCAAGGCTGATAATATTATAGACAACTCCATTGATTTACCTGTTCTTCTCCACTCTGATTCAGCACTGACATCCTAGACCCGAGAGCCAATGGTTCCAACTTGCCTATAGCAATGAAACAAAGTCAGCTTTTTCTTAATTGACAACCTGCACATAGAAGTAATTCAATCCTCAATACTGTTGTCCAATCCTCAATTTGGTGGTCATTATTTGTACTGTCGCTCTTGATTTCTTTGATATTTTTGATTATTTTACAGACTTAATATTAACTCAATTTATAAAAATCATTCTTGACTTCAATGTAAAATAACAATATGATAATACTTAATAAAAATATAATACATATTTTTATTAAATATATACAATTCATATCAAATTTTTACTATAAAATAATATAAAAAGGCTTATTTAACTAAGGCGAATATATTATAAATTACATTTTTTTTGTCATATATTTACTATTTTAGCTAAGATAAACAGACTAACATAAACTTAGCGGTCATTCATTCTTTCAGAATCAAGTAGTATTATAGGTAAGACACTATTATGGAATTTAACTTGGAACCACAGTTGATCTTCTAATTAGTACTAATATTATTATTAATATCCTTTAAACAGATTTCTTTAGATAAATTATAAAGTATCACTAATCAGATACAAAAACACTGATTTTTATAACTGACCATGCCTTATTTCACAATTTGAATTATACGCCAATTTCAGATTTTTAAATAATATGATAATTTACATATTGTCATCAAATTCAGCCACTTAATGTTTTGTAAAAAATTTAAAAATCTTTTAATAGTACAAATGATAGAAAATGTTTATTGACACACATTTCTGGTATGTGATGAGCATTATGTAAGTATTAGAAAGGCAACATCAAGTAGAGGTCAATACATTTCATTTTTACAATGCAACTCTTATTTACTCATTTTTTATTTATTGAATTAAAACTTATTTATAATATTTATTATGGATTAGCTAATAACATCTTGGTTATTTTTATTTCATTTGGGGACTATTTTATCTAATTTCTAAACCTCATTCTTAATTCACACAAAATATAAAACTTGACTTAGTAGTAACAAATATTTAAATATCTCTTAATCATTGCCTTAAAATAATTAAAAAGTAAAAGAAAAGCCAGCATTGTTTTATTATGCAAACAAGACTTATCAAAAAGGATTGAAGATATTCAAAGATATCAATTGATAAAATATATTCTTGTAAATTAAAAATTGATAAAAATTGGATATCCCGACCATCAAATACTGAACTATACAATAAAATAGGAATAGTCAGTCTTATTCATGTTTTGAATAACAAATTCATGATATTGACTTGCAAGACGTCAGCAGAGTTACCCGATGCATACATTTGACACAGAAAATTTAAAATGCCTGAATCAATTTTCTTAAAAAATGATTAATGTTTTATTCAGTCTTTACTGCTTATTGTTTGTACCTTTTATGTCTACATACACAGGAGAAAAAACATTTAACACTAAGCTTTACATCTCTAGGTAAACTGGAAATCTTTCCCGATATTTTTATGTTAAGGCATCTTTAGTATTGTCAAATCTACATGCACTGATGTAAAGAAAACAGTTTGAAATACTTGCCTTAAAATTATATCACTATTCACACTCTTTGCTCATTAATGATTCATAGGCCTAATAATAATAAACTATTAATTAAAGTATCAAAATATATTAGTGTACTTTTTTAATGTACTTTGAATTTCTTATCTTGGAATACATAAGGTAATTTTAAATCATGTGTTGTAGTAAACACAAGTTAGGTCTAAAACAATAAGTACAAGCGATAAATAGATCGCAACAATGACTCAACCCAGCTTTTGACAACTTCTGTTTTTGACATTTTAAGAGAAATATACAGGTTTAGGAGATTTCAGTTCATCAAACATGGAAACTAGTTTTTTTATGAAGTTCTGAATTTTTGATAAAAAAAAATTGTGTTAAACCCAGAGAAAATAGTTTACGTAGCAGCAGCAGGTACCCTCTCGTAACTGAATGTACGTCCGTCAGCTGCCATTCAAAAGAATATGTGGCAAAAGTCAAACTTTCATTTCGTACAAGGATACACTAAAAATAATTCATAAACATTGAATTTTTTACCCGTCACACCTAAGATATTGATATCTCTGCTATCGTCCCACAATCCAAATTTAGAAGGAAAAAGTAAAATCGATGTTTACCTTACGTCTCCTCTCAAAGCAAATCTTTTTTCTATTGCAGAACTAAGACTGCTATCCCTTCGCTAGAGAAGAAGATTAATCCTTTCCAAAGGACCCGTAAGGAGCTTCAATGCTCAATTTAAAATAAAATGCAAAGCTGAAATAAATATAACTGTTTTTGAAGATATTTTCTGCGAGTTACTATACATTTGTTTTATGAAATGGCCTAATCTTTTACAAGATTCGTTCTGTGATTCCATAGACAATCTCACTCACTTTTAATTTTAAAAATCTGTTTTAAGTAATTTTCCATTCCGTCAATATTGGGATTTTTCTAAAAAAAAATTGCATTGAATACAGTTCGCATAATAATTACTTCATTTTAGGAAAAAACATAACAAGTTACAAAAAGTTCAAAATATTTGCATTAAAAAAACTAAAAGAAAACATAGGCATATCTTCCACAAACAAATTCGAAAAGTAAAATAAACCATAGATAACATGTCAAGGGTGTAAACTAAAGGAGTAAAGCTTGGAGCACATTATAATAATTTATAGCTATCTAATATTTTGTTAGAGTAATATAGGTTGGGAGTCCCAATTACCACATTACGTTATAATTAAACTGTGCAATATTGAACGATCATCGTTGTATCTCTTAGATAAAATAGATTAGTTTACATTTGTGTAACTGAACTTACACTTCATTTAATTTTGAGAGAAATTAAGTTAATTTTTTATTTGTACATATTTCGTGAATCCTCAATCTAAACCAAAGCAATCTAATTCAGCTAGTAGAATTTAGCTGTTTTTTGCGGACCCATGCATAGTTTTTAATTGATATCGTGAAAAGAATCATCACTATAACACATGTCTATCTCCATTTTCTGAAATAGTTCCCTTGTTTAAAATATTGACATAAAATTTTAATTGTTCATATTATAAGCCGCTGTTGATTATAAAAAACCCTTTGGAGTGATAGCTCCCAAACATATAGCAATAACACATAGCTTAATACTGACAAAAACAATTGTTTCCAATATTATGTGCTTTGCAAGATTTCAGATAATAGGGACCGGGGTCCCGTCCGTAACCCGCCCCCTAAGAGCTTCGGGCTCCACCCGCTTTGTGCAGGGAGGAACCTAGGCGTGGGGCGGCGTGGTAGCTCGCGTTTCCCCGACCGCTCTGGGGGAAGGTGTAGCGCGGCGCCCTTAATGGGGCTCCGGGCCCGTCGACCGAGGGAACCGGCGGTCATGTTGCTGGCGGCCGCCGGTCCAGCGTCTGGGGGACGGCGGGATGGATGTAATACGCTCTGCGTAAACCCTGTCCCGCCGTCTCAATAGCTCCGACTGGGCTCCCGCCCGGTCCGGGGTAGGGCGCCGGATGTGAGCGGCAGGAGTTTTTAGTGAGGTTCGACTCCCACATACCCCACCTGCCGTGCGGGTGGAAATCCGACGATTTTCTCCTGTGGATAAAAAAAATATCAGATAATAGGTAGGACAATAGGTAAAATCGCAAACTAAAAAAGAAAAAAAATTTGGTAAAATCAAATGCATCAAATTTTGCAATATTAGAGAAACGAATCGTAATATCAATTTTTATGATCACTCGTTTTTAATTCGAATCCTACGTATTTAAATTATTAAATAATTGTGTAGCGTTGACTTAATACTACTTTTTAATTTAACCACAAACAGAGATTTTTTTAGATAGCGTCTTTTATACCGCTACTTAAATTTTTGGATAAATTTTATGTATTTATCAGATGCTTTGGAATACATAGCGGTAAAGCTATGTGTAATACCATAGAGATAACTATTCTTAAATTTTCTTCGCCAGAGTTCTCGAATGTTTGAATAAAGATAAAGCAAATCCGTTTTCTCCATTACGTCATTTCTCATTTCACTGTATTGCGCCAAATTTGAAATTGTGATAATGCTGTAAGTAGCTGATAATATTTCTCGTTTAATATTATGAACTTGTATAAACACACAATATTGCTGTTTAATGTTACGATTCAGCTCAACAATCGACAGAGTTCAAGGAAGTAATCTATAATTCAATAAAATTTGAATATTTTTTTTGAGTTTTTCGGAAATGGAATGGTCAGATTTTTTTCTTTCGAGGCAGTCGACCTTACGGCCTTTATCATAATTTGTCATTCTTGATATCTACCAAAATTACCACAACCAATCACTCGACGACCGCTGTCCTAAATATTAATAAAATTAAAGTGAAAAAAATGGAAATTGGTAAAAAATACAGAGATAGGATACATATCATTGTTGACGAGGTCGCTGATATTTTTTTTTAGTCTACATACCATTAGGTATCTAGAAACTACTAGGTACATAGCTGTTACTAATGAAAGGACTCTGGTAGGTGTTTAAACGGTTATAGTGACTAATATAATAATATATTGGTGAGTATAGGAGACCACAAGTCCTACTACCAAATATATTAAGTGTATAATCTATGCCTACTACTTATATAAGTAGTAGATATGCAGTAAAAGTAGAAATAGTACATAGACCTATATAGTAGGGACACGACATATTGTTCTATACGTACAATTGCTTATATAAATAGCACCCATTTTGAAGGCACATACATAAACATATATCTATCTCGTTCTTACTCAGCACTTTAACTCGCAGGAAAACAATATAATAGTATTTCAGTGCGTACATAAAATTAAACATGAATATACGTAAATATCTCCGTCTCCGTCTAATGAGGCCGAAAATCCGCCATGTTTAGCGCGCCAAATGTCATTGTCACGTCAGTTCGGCCGTCTGTTTTGGGTTGTACATTATTTGTTGACTATGATATCGATTTAATATGATTGATTATATAAAATTTCATAATTTATCATGCTTAAAACATAGAAAAATAATAATTAAAACGTATTTTATAGGATCTCAAGAAAGTCGATGTCCTAAAACTATTATCTATATGTATTTAAATTCATTATGGAGCCCTCATCCGAAAAATCCATTTTTCGGTCGGAATCTATTGATCATGACACTAATCATAAATAACACTTTAAAATATGTCATCAAAACATATTTAGACATTCTGTTTAGATATTTCGGGAAAAAGGCTACCGACAAAATCTCTTCGGAACTATTTAAATAAAATAGTTTTATTCCGCAGTGAGTAAAACACTATTGTAAATTTGTTAAATATTTAATAATTAAGTGATTTTAGAGAGGAAGTCACAAGGAATGACGTTTGTAATTAATGAATAAATGTTCTGTAGGTGTTTTTTTTTTCACGCGGTCCCTTGATAAGTTTAAAATTTGAATCACTCTCAAGCGAAAGTGATTCAAATGGTGCGGCGCACCTTCCTTGGGGTGCGCTGCGGTAGTATGTTACGGACTTTAGAGTCAGCAAAACAATTAAAATAGATTGTAATAGTCTAAGAAAAACACGTACTCAAAATACGATAACATTTAGCATGCTAGAAATGGGCTGATGGCTTTGAACTACGCCATATCTTTATGTTTTGCGACAAACGACAACTTTATAAAATCAGTGTAGCAACTTTTAAAAATCATCATATCGTTTACTTGGCAAATTCGAAGGACGAACTTGTCTTAGATTTCACCCATCTAAATCATATCATATTTGCACATAACAATATACCTACTTACTTCCCATTAAAGTATAAATTCTACAAATAAATAATACTCAACAATATTTAAAATAAAATGAGCCAAGAACGTTTATCGATAAAACCTGATAACATTGAAATCTTTTGTACAGCACTAAAGCCGCCATGTTTTGTGGCCAGATGACGTCACAGTGGCACGAAATTTTGGTTGACGTTTCATTTCCATAGGTTTCCTACTTCATTGAAATAGTAGCACTGATAGCCGTTTTGACATATTACAATAGTGATGTGAAATGTCAATTTATTCTCGAAAAAAATATAGTGATATCTATGGCCGTTTCTGTAATTGGAAAACTACCATTAAGTAATGGTTAATTACAGAGCATAATGCGACTCAGTGACGCACAATGCCGAATTATGCTGAAGCTGGAACTAATTGAGCATTATGCCGCATAATGCTCTATTGTGCTGTAATTGTAAAACGGCCTATAAGTTTTTATTTACAAGTAGTACCTGATAAAAAAAGATTTAATGAAACAAAAATATAAATGCTCACTTAATATATTTGAACGATCTGAATATTGGAATGAAAATGAATATACAGACTTTATATGCACACAAGAAACAAATTAATACAAAAAGAGTTAAAAAAAGGTGCCACAAAACGCTATATTTTATCAGATTCGTCCATACTGCTATTTTATTTTATTAGTGTCTCATTATTTAGAACAGCTCTTTGCGTCCAAATTAACGAGAAAGGGTCAACAGTACTGCAGTATCAATATCCGAAATCCAAAGCCAGGTCAAAACTATATCACAATCGCAGTTTGTACTTTTGAAGCAACGTCAAGTCGAAACTGCTTTGTTTTGCATAGAGCATTGACGCGAGTTTACCGGAGGTAGTAGTTGTGTGGCCAGCGATCCTATGTGACGCTCGTATTAAATTTCATTTTTTATAATCGTGAATTTCGGAATGCAAATGCGGAGTTGTGTGGTAAATAAGTACACCAATAATTATAATCTTATAAAAATAAATGTTCGCGGGACCCTAATATATATAGTTTAGAAATCAATGTAATAAATAATTTTTGTGTCCTAAAATAATACATTCGATAAATTTTATGACTAACTGCACGTCACTATTGACAATAAAGAACAGCAATATGCTCCTTCAAATGTAATTACTATTAATACGAAACTTCATGAGTTGGACAAACGTCAAAACGGCCATCACAGAGTGCCGGTAGAACAATAGTATTTTAATTTTAACACCTAACTGTAACTTCAATTATTCTTATCTAGAAGAAGTGCTGTAGCTGTTAGTATTATTGGTGTGTACATTGGATTTTCACTTTGCACAGGTATTTGAAACGCAAAGCATTGATGTCTTACGTTTTGTGAAAGGTCAGCAACAGAATGATCAGCAACAAGGCATTTACCCATCCGAGCGTAGCTGAAATAGTCTTTTAGGCTACCAGCGATCGCGCTGTTATGGGGTATCTTCGTAAGAGCGACCGGTTCGTGGTGTACCACGTATCGAACAGGCAGGCTGGTTCTGATCCAGTGACGTATCCCAGGACACCAGCGGCATCGCCTGGGCTGCCTTACCGAGACGGCTGACGTTCCAGAGCCTTTGTTTCGCCTCAAAGGCTTCGTCGGCCGAGTGTCCTTGAGGTGAGTCGCGCATCTGGTCGCAGTGTTGATCGCGGTACCCCCATTACCCCTCCCAGGTTTTGACCTTGGGGGCGATTGAACACTTGGGCGAGAGTGCAGGGAAGTCGTTTATTGGGTAGGACCCTAAATACCATCCTTGTGGTCACGGTCCGTTCTCATCTGCCGACTGTCCAGTCTGATACATACCGCGCCACCTCGGTTCATAAAAAAGGGTTGTAATCCCGCACACAGCTAGATTTTTTTGATGAAGTAAGAATTCAAGTAAAGTGTTAGTGTATTTTCCACCAACGGAAATTAATGAAATATTAATTATTTACATGATTCATTAAGTTATTAAAAATTACCCTATTCACGGTCTGCTTTCACGATGATGAAAAAGTCGTGTAATAAAATAAAACCAAAAGATTATGTAATTACGGATTGTAGGGCGTATTGCGTGCTCGCTCGAGTCGACACCACCATCCAGCTTCATTTTGCCGCGAAACAGTTATACTTCCGATTTAAAATAATTCCGGTGCTATACAAAACAATTCAGTGTGCTTAGTGCGAATTTTTTAACGTTCTCGACAGCCTAAAAGTTAGCCTAATTTTGTATGTAGTTGGAACAGAGCCCCTAGCGGCAAACGTAGGCAAACGATCCCATTCCATACAAATATGAGCTAACTTTTACGCTATCGAGAACGTTAAAAAACTCGCACTAAGCACACAGATCACTTTAAAGATGATTGATGGCATTCTGGATCAATGCTCTCTTAGCTTCGGTAATCGGGTTCGTATGGGCCGAGAACACAACTCGTCAACATACTACAAATGTAAGTTACGGAACCACTTTTATATACACAATCATAGATGTTCAGAGAAATTTCATACCCGATCCTGTGGACCGAATGGTAAACAGTCGACGTCGCCCTAAGGACGTCATTACGGATCCTCCCGATCCATTAACGGTGCTTTTAGGTACCACCGGTTTCAAGCACCGGTCACTGTCCTCGCCGATCCCATCGCTTGCGACGAAGGACTCGACGAGTAAATTAACCCATAGTCACATCCCACTGAGTTTCTCACCGGATCTTCTCAGTGGGTTGCGTTTCTGATCTGGTGGTAGATTCTGCGAAGCACTGCTCTTGCTAGGGTTAGTGTTAGCAACACTCCAGTTTGAGCCCCTTGAGCTCACTTATACGACAAGGAGAAGCTGAAATAGCCTCTCAAGGCTATCAGCATAGGTAGGAAAAAATAGAGAAATTTACAAGTCACTATTATTTGAACTCCACTTTTTTTTATTGCTAGATTGGTAGACGGGCTCACAGCCCACCTGGTGTTAAGTGGTTACTGGAGCCCATAGACATCTACAACGTAAATACGCCACCCACCTTGAGATATGAGTCCTAAGGTGTAACTATAGTTACAACGGCTACTCCACCCTTCAAACCGAAACGCATTGCTGCTTCACGGGAGAAATAGGCGGGGTGGTGGTACCTACCCGCGCGGACTCGCAAGAGGTCCTACCACTAGTAATAAAATCTTTATTATCATTGTACACAGACGGTGAAGCAGTAATGCGTTTCGGTTTGAAGGGTGGGGCAGCCGTTGTGACTATACTGAGACCTTAGAACTATATCTCAAGGCGTGTGGCGCATTTACGTTGTAGATGTCTATGGGCTCCAGTAACCACTTAACACCAGGTGGGCTGTGAGCTCGTCCACACATCTAAGCAAAAAAAAAACGGTCGTACGGCCCAACTCATGATTAGTGGTTGACGTCGCTCATGAACGTGAGTAATGCCAGGTGCACGATAAAGCCGTTGCGTAAGCCCTCATTCGCACGAGCGTTTGAAAAACGTAGCGTTAAAACTAGGCGTTGGCGCTTTTATAACGTTCTCGATGTGACGTAATCTGTAACGCCCGACGCTTAGGCTGGTTTTCCACTCACGCTGATCGTCGGCGCCTGTGGGTCGGCGGCGCGGACGCCCGCGTAGCGCTCAGCGCCGACGGCCGTCAACGCTCAGCTAGCGTTTTCGTATCGCGCTGAACACACGTACTGACGAATAGAATCATGGACAATCGTGATATAGACACCGGTCAAGTAATTGACGAAGTGCGATCAAGAAAATATTTATGGGAGGCTTCGGATCCATTATATCAAAACACAGATGCGCGTAACAAAGCTTGGGATGACATTGTCGACGCTCTTTTCGAAAAATATTTCTATTCGAACGACGCGAACGTGCACGACTCGAAAACGCTACATATAACTACATACATATTGACCCATCAGCGCCGACCGTCAGCGTGTGGTCAGCGTGACAGGAAAATCAGCCTTAGCGCTCAAAATGCAACACTGCGCAATAATAAACCGCCGCGTTTTAAAAGCACTGACGTGTGAACATAATTATACTAGGAAATGCATGTTCTATTTGAAAGTTTTTTTTAATAGCGCGCTAAAAAAACTCCCGTGCGAATGAAGCCTAATGCTGAGCTCTTGTGGTAGCTTGTCAAAAATTAATAATATTTTCATGGCTCCGAAAAATAAAACGAGCATTACAAGCATATTATATATATTTTTTTATAATAATTAAGAATAAATTCTTACATCACGAGTTATAAAATAAATACATTTATTGCCTTAAATTAAGTCCAAAAGTACTCTGTACAATTATTGTTAGCGATGTACAAATACAAACGAGAACGACATGTAAAAATATTTAAAAAAAAAAAACAAAAAAAAAAAAAAAGGGCCTTATCATGAAGTCAGTAAGTTTCACAATAATCATTGTGACCTACGAACAACTTAACAAATTGTGTCAGAATCACAACCAATAGTTTGCATCTTAATTTCATCTCTTATTTAATATTACACAAACTATTATTATATCATTGCTCTTCACTTATCCTAAAAACAAGAACCATTCTTTACCTTATAATTAATAATTACATTTAAATTACGACTATCTAATTGCTAGCGGGTGTTTCTTACTGGACTGTTGTGCTTATACTCACAATAATTCCACTCTCTACTAACTTCTGAGATCTTAAGCTGCATACAGACTGTATGAACACACAAATATAAACTCGAGTTTATCATAGACAAAAATCTATGCTCTTTATTTCTATCATAATGTGTGTATCTTCTCAGGTTTAAATTAAATTGTAACAATGTATAATAATTTCTGACGATTCAAATATTCTTCCAAATTCTGAAACGACCTTATAAGCTAAACAACAGTCTCAATCTCTCATACAATTTACGCACACCAAGCATTCGTCATCTTGACTAATTAACATTTCAGAATAACGAAGAATAAATCAACCAAATAAATATTATCTCTGTATGCTGCACAGTCAGTATACAACTTGAAAATATGTCCACACTATCGAGTAGGCGTCTGCTTTTTTTTTTTTTTCAATCGTAAAAAAACTTCTGTGAGTACGTTCAATTTGAAAAAATAAAACATTTAAGAATAATATTTATACAGTGATACGTCTATTCGATAGTGAGATACGATCCTCGTACGACAGCAGAGAGGCGACACTGACGTGACGTCACGGCTGCGTCTTCCCTCACTGTACAACCGTCACCATTCGAAGCCTGCATCCGCCGGGGTTCATTGCTTTACAAACAAGGCATTAGTTCATCAAGGCCACTGTGACATCCACAATGTGCGACTACTAGCCTAGCATATTAATATGTCCTATGTACTATCGAAATAAAACAGTGTTGCGTTCCATTATTGGCATTGTTCGTACAGAATTACAGTTAATAAATTAAAATAAAGACGGTTAATAATATCACGAAATAAATTCACGTGGCAAATAATATGGCAACAGACGATTTAAGTACTTTTAAACATTAAAAACAAAAAAAAAATACTATTTAAGACTTGCAAATAGGCAAGTACTAACCCCACTTTCGGAGCGTAAAACAATTGCTGCACTCCACTATTTTGCATCATAAAGTCTAGTATATGTACTGGAAGACAGAAAAACGTTGCTACTCAGATCAAAAGAAACAGTCATTACAGCTGGTACACAAATTCCAGAGTCGTGCTGGCCGACGCGACGAGCCGAAACGTTACATTATACGAATTTCATTAACAGAGCATCCGTAAGACTAAAGCGGACAAAAAACATATATGTTAATGTAGTTGTGCGTCACTCCAGAGTCGAGCGGAGACCTCGCGTCCCGGGTCGGGCTCCGGTAATTTCAAAATTGACTAGATATCTGTGTGCATAGGAAACGTACGTAAAACAGCTAAGTAAAGGAACCGATACACTGAAGGTCTGGCATGTCCGTGTAAAAAATACTAAANTATCCGTAAGACTAAAGCGGACAAAAAACATATATGTTAATGTAGTTGTGCGTCACTCCAGAGTCGAGCGGAGACCTCGCGTCCCGGGTCGGGCTCCGGTAATTTCAAAATTGACTAGATATCTGTGTGCATAGGAAACGTACGTAAAACAGCTAAGTAAAGGAACCGATACACTGAAGGTCTGGCATGTCCGTGTAAAAAATACTAAAAACTAATTTTATTGCTATCAGCAAAAGTAACGTTTAAAACTGTAGTTCAAAGAACGCAGAGCGGAGGGGGTCGCAGTCAGACAGGCGGCGGCGGTCATCACTTGGGCGGCTGGTAGGGCGGGTAGGGCTGGTGCGGCTGCGCGGCGCGGCTGCCCGTCGCGTACAGCTGCTGCTGGAAGTTGTGGAACTGGGCTGCGTACGCGGGGTCCTGCGGGGACGGCATGAAGCCCTGCCCCTTGAACGGCGTCGGAGCCACCGAGGGCGGCAGCGGCTGGGCGGCTCCCACGCGCTTGCCGCCGCGGAACGTCGCACCGAAAGACTCCGGCGACATCTTAGGCGCGTCGGGAAAGCCGCCGGGGTAGTGGTGCGGCATGCGCATGGGCGCGCGGTACGGGCCCTTGTCCAGGGGCATCGGGTTGGCGACACCGCGCAGGAACTCCAGGCTGGGCGGCGCGCGGGGCCCCGCGCACGTCAGGGCCGCGCGCGTCGGCAGGTACTGGATGGTGTTGGGTGCGCTCGCTTTCACTTGGACGTTGGCGCCGTTGAACGACATCTTACCGCCGCGCGCGCCCAGCATGCCGTCGGGGCCCATCCCGCCCCCCGGCCCGCCCATAGGACCACCGCCCATCTTTGGGCTCAAGCTCATGTCTCCAGGAAAATCACCTCCACCCATCATGCTTTCCATCGGCCCGCCCATTCCGGGTCCTCCCATACCGTCCATGTGGCAACCTAACGTAGAAAACAAATAAAATAATTTACATCTGAAATAGTGTTATTTTGTTAATTATGTATTAGTTATTTAACTACATTTTTTGCAAATAATTTTTTGCAATATAATCTTATCATGGGTACTGAACAAATAATTGAAACTTGTGGGCTGAATTTCTTAAATTATGTTCATAAGCATAGTGTGCTCTGTCCTCACCCAACGCGACTAGTGGTGTTTAATATGTTTCGCGTTCTTGAATACTGACTTCATTGTTCAAAACAGTACGCCCCATGGACGGGATACAATAACAAAGCTTACAGCTTCTTTATTTCGGAACAGTTTTTTTCAATATGAGACAATTTTAAATAAAATTTTAAAACTAATAAACACTTATACTTACAAATAAACACTTATATAGCAAACCAGACTAATAAAAACGTTTTAAAGATATTAGCTAGGATAATCGGTAAAATCGAAGCCCGGATAAGTGTTATTTTAAAAAACAAAGACAAACCCAAGTCGTTGATCATCATGTGGGGATGCGAGTGAGGGTGCATGGCGTGGTGATGCTGCACGTGATGCGGTCCGAAGGGCCCCATGTTGTTGGGGGCGGGCGGCATGGGCGGCGCCCCGCCCACCGTGTTGGTGAGCTGCTGCGACATCTGCGCCAGGGACGAGATGGGGTCGAAGGAGGAGGTGGCGGGTCCGAGCGGTCCGGCGGGTCCCTGGTTGGGGTTGATGGGGATGTTGTCAGGCCGCCCGCTAAGACTGCACGCACCAGGGAACCCGCCCGGGAGACTCGTGCTGTTCGGACCCCCTGATAACGTAGGCTGTGCAAATAATACATCATTTTAATGTCAGTATTTCAGTAAATCAATTAAGAGCAAGATATAGAGGTCTTCGCATGGACTTCGAGTTTACATGCTGGATATCATACAATACAACATAGACCGTGATAGACTGGTCAATATCGCCTGTAACGACAACACAAACAACATGTAATTCGTATTGCGAACATCCAGCGTACCTCAGTAGTGGATGAGAGGCTATCCTCAATGTTACTAACACTCGGCGTGGTGGAGGCTATACTACAGCTGCCCTTGTTCCCGCAGGCGGCTGACGATGAGGGCGCGTAGGGTCCCTGGTTGAGTCCCGACTCGCGCTGAGGCGTCTTCGATGCGCTATCTTGACTTGACCTGTTCGACGACGGACTGGGCCTTGATTTTTCATCTGAAGAGAAAACACAAGAAATATTACTTCATAATCAAAACCCGTTAAAAACCGTTCAATTAGGTTTTTAACTAAATTAATCAATTAATTTTGGTCCTGGCTGTTTGTTCTTTTTAGTAATCATCTCCTTTCTACTGTCGCACCAGTTACTAATAGAGCTCAGACCTCTCTGATCATTGCGATATCTACAGCCAGTAAATGTCACAAATATATCTGACCTTCAGACATTAGAATGAACTATAAAACCCTATCTATTTATTTTCATCAGATGAGGTTTGAGAGTCCATAGCCGTAGATGGTGTGAACTTGGCTGCACACCCTTCACGATCAGAATGCAATTTGAATAAACCACTATTTAATGAACAATCATGCTCGTTCCACAACTAGTGTTCGCTGCTACTACTACTACTCACCTTGTCCACACTTTGTATTTGATACAGACGTAGGTGTCTGCGGATTATTGAATCCTGGACTTTGTTCCAGAGAAAATCTTCCTGCTCTTTGTTCAGATAACGACGAGTGAGGTTCTGGGGTCCCCGGCATCATTCTATGCAAAGAAAATTATGGCTTAGTTGTTTACATGTTTATCTTTACTGGTGGTAGGACCTCCTGTGAGTCCGCACGGGTAGGTACCACCGCCCCGCCTGTTTCTGCCGCGAAGCAGTAATGCGTTTCGGTTTGAAGGGTGGGGCAACCGTTGTAACTATACTTGAGACCTTAGAACTTATATCTCAAGGTGTGTTGTGCATTTAGGTTGTAGATGTCTATGGGCTCCAGTAAACATTTAACACCAGGTGGGCTGTGAGGTCATCCACACATCTAAGCAATAAAAAAAAAATATCGGGTTAATATACAAAATTAAGAAGAAACCTGAACTACTGTGCAGTGCAAGCAGGTTCATAAATACTACTTATTTTAGATTAAAAAGTTTGTTTGCCTAAAGTTAATGTTATAGTTAATGGCTGTAACGTACCCAGCTGGTGACTTTTGATTTGAATTTGATTGTGGTGTTTGTCCTCCACTGTTCGACGGGGGTCCGTTGTCTTTTAAAGACGTGTTCGGCTGTTTTTGTATCGTTAATTCTTGTCCTTAGAAAAATAAACATACTCATTAAAAACTCCAGAGAGGTGGGGGGCAACATTTAAGATGAAGAAATCGAATTAGCCATAGAGTAATGAAGATATATTCTGTTAGCACATTTTCACCAACCACCACCAAAATGGAAATATAAATATGAAACAAGAACTACATGTGAAATGTACATATGTGATAATGATCTAGTGTTTCTAGTGCGTTCATTCAATTTACACAACTATTAGGCAGTCCAGGTAAATCGAAACAGCATTTTTATTTCAAATTTACTAAATTGCCATATAAGAAAAAAAACAAAACAACAGAAAGCATAAAAGAAACCTTATTGGAAGCACATCAAAAATATTTTATATAATTGAATAAATAATAGACAAGCTTGGGTTCACACCCACACAAGGCTGTGTAAGCCCAACCTTGTACAGTTGACGTGTCCCGTGTAGCTCTAAACAAGCTGAGTTACCTTCGAACTGGTTGAGGTAGGATATTTGTTGCGGCGAGGGCACCGGCATCAGGCTGGGCTCCTTGCCGTGCTGGCCGCTCTGTTGGTTCTTCTGTTGCTGCGCCGCCAAGCTTTGGAGCGTTCGCACAAACACACCGTCGTCTAGTTTCTCTAGTATCTCTTTTGCGGGCAACGTGCGAGTGCGATCGACGTCCAATTTTTGTATACGTTTCGATTTGTTAATGTTATTTCGTCACACGGTGGGATTTCAAGCGTCAAGCGTTTTGCGAGGGGAGGAGGGGGAAAACAAAAAATACGCATTACAACTACAGAAAAATAAGTTGAAAAAAAAAAAAAAACGAAAAAAAAAAAAACAACGCATTTTTTGATACAAAATTAATTACGTGGTTGGGAAAATGTCTAACACACAAAAACGTAGGCATGCTTTTTCTACATCTATGGCTTCTGTGTTTTATTTTTAACATGCTTCAATAACTTACCTAAAACGTTGTAAAGAAATCGAATCAAAGGACAATGTTCCTGACTATATCACCTCAGTTGGCAGATCGTGAATTCAATTAACCTTTTTATTAATGACGCTATGGCAAAGGTTTCGTTACTGTTTCATTTTAAACTTATGTCGGAGTAAGTTGAACATTGGTCCTCCGATCCACTTAAGACTCTAAGTACGATTATATGAGTGTTTAAAGTACAAACCTGGCCCGTCCTGTTTGGGTCCCGGCTTGCAGTGCGCCGGACTGTTGAGGCCCGATCCTGCTCGGGACGCCTCAGCTGACATTGGCATCTGTACGGAGCCGTGACCCGGGGATTGTGTTGCTATACAAAACATTAACATTATCAAGATCATTGCACAGAAAAACAAGTTAAGAACAAATTCCTACTTTCAATACTATATGATTATTTAGGAAACAAGTTTTATTTCTAAACCTATATAAACTGATGATTACACGTTGGTTTTGTTTTTGAATATTTTTATAATACACACTTCTTTTAAATGTGTTCTGTTTGCTATTTTTTATATATTTTTTTCCTACCTAAGCTGATAGCCTTATGACGCTATTTCAGCGTAACCTTAACTAGTAGGTGAGCTCACGGGGCTCAAACCTTACGACGTTGCTAACACGAACCCTTGCAAGAGCCGTGCTTCGCAGAATCTGCCATCGGATCGGAAACGCGACCCACTGAGAAGATCCGGCGAGAAACTCAGTGGGCTGTGTCTGCGGGTTAATTTACTCGAGAGTATTTTTTGTAGTTTATTATTGAATGCACCGATATATTATTATTGTGGTACATACCTATAGGCACTGAGGCTGAGCGGTGTAGGGGTGAGGCACCATACGGGGGCGGAGGCAAACAGCTTCCTCTTTCGGAACAAGGGGACTTCACTTGCGTACCTGTTCACAATACAAAATATTACAATTACACCAATGCTAAGTAACCTCACTCTCAATTGATAACTTAAACTATCTTTCATTTGAATTAAAAATGTAATGTAAATTTTTTGTTAATCCTCACTTAATTCGGTGTCCATAGATTTAGGATCGTCAAAGAACTGATGTTGTAATTTTTGCCAGTCGATATCCGGACCGCCGGGACTCTTAGGGCTGCGCAGACCGGGCTTGTGGCCCAGTCCCGGAACCAACCCTGGACCCAGCCCGCCGGGGTCTCCTGGACCCATCTGATGGAGAATACGATCCAATTAAAATTTACATAAAACATTTATATTTATACTTTCAGCCAGTGACTAACTGAAGGACAGCGCACAAAAACTTGCTTCTTTATGTTTAAGATTGTTTTAAAGTTTGGTTTTAAGAATCCATTCAATTAAATACCCCGCATACGAAAATTTAATGGGTACAAATAGTTTTATCGTCATTATTACAAATAGTTTGACATCACAGTGTTTTTTATCCAATTGTCATACTCCTTCAGGCAGTTTATTAAAATGTCTACGACATAAGTCATTCACTAAATTTAACTCGGACTTATGGTACCAAAAATTTGGCATAGACGGCAGTCCTTTATTTAATACATTAGATGATTCGAAGTATTAATTTAGGAACGAATTCTTTTCACTATTTGTTCTATACAGAATATGTACTTCAAAATTAAATTTAAATGTTTTTAACAATTATCTTACCGACGATAGATGGCAGCACATCAATTTTATTATAAATTTATAACAATTCTGCATAAATACACGCATTTAGTAATATAAAATATGCGTTTATTTACGCTCCTTGTGTATAATAAATTCCACAACAATTCAAAACAACTATTTGTCTGTGTGGGTTTTCCTTTCTTACCACTTGCCACAAAAAATGCATTTTTTGCTTAATGCGTAAAGTATATGAATTTTCTACTAACAGAACACGTCATGTATAATTTTATTTTCCAACATCAGTGCGGCGGTTAAAGAAAAATATATAATTGAAAAATACATACATTTCTTCCGCGTCCGTACTCATCGCACATAGGTCCGTTGACGGGCACTCCGTGGTGGTCGGGACCGCAGTCGCCATGCGGCATCATGCCTCCCATCATACTCCCATCCATCATTATACCGCCTGCATTCCAATTAACATTAATTTCTGTTTATTTTACCATACTACTCTACGTTTTAGATTGATATTTTCACATGCACACTTAACATCCATATGCACGAGGACTTCAAAGTATTTCATCATTTTCATTCTGTTTCGTTAAGGTTGCTGCCTCAGCTATTTGAAGGTGGTGAACATATACTATATATGGATATCCATATATCCACCTATAAACTTTTACTTCCATTTGTAAGGACGCCGTCTGATTTTCTTCAACGACCATTATTAATTTTCATGAAAATTTTATTAATAGTTTATTCTTAAAAACTAATAAAATGATAAAAAGTCATAATTACCGTGAAACCTACCGTTCATCGCGTTCAGATTGGGCCCAGGTATCATTCTGGGTCCCATATGTGGTCCGCCCATCATACAGGGCTTAGGACCTCCCATACCTCCCATTGGGTTCGGCATACGCTGAAAATTAACAAAGATAACATTATCAATAATTCTTAACCCGCATAATGGTGTAATTATATCAATATTCAATTTACTTACCCCCATAGGTCCCCCACAACCTCTACCCATATGCATGTCTGTGCACATTCCCGATTTCATGTCAGGTCCTCCACATGGTCCACGAATTCCTTTCATTCCACATGGCCCCAGAGGTCCCATGGGACCATTAGGACCCATACCACCCATCATGGGTCCATTAGGCCCCATCATTCCATTGGGACCCATAGAACCGTGACCCATTCCCATACCGCCCGGTCCACCCATGCCACCCATCGGCCCGCCAGGGCCCATGTGACCTCCCATAGGGCCATTTGGACCCATTGGACCACCCATAGGTCCATTTGGACCCATTGGGCCAGCCATTGTACAACTTGGTCCAGAGTTCATATTATTTGACATCGATACCATGGGTCCATTAGGCCCAGGTCCCATAGGGCCATTAGGGCCCATTCCAGACATTGGTGGAAAGGGCATATTCATATTTGCCGTAGAATTTGGAGGGTTAATATCGTTAGGCGCTTGCGAGTTGTCTCCTGAACCTTGGTTGACATTGTTTCCTCCACTCTCAGGGAATAACATTTGTTGCATTTTTCGTATCGTTGCAAGCTGCTCTTCGCGATGCGCACGCTGCTGTGGCGTCAGGTTCTCATCTGGTATTTTTACGCCTGTAAAGACAATTATAATGAGACCAGGCTCAACTTACTATATTAGAATGTGGGTATAAAATTGGGCTCACCTTTGGGTCCAGTTTGACAATCTCCACCATCTGCAGAGCCTGAATCGGGCGGTTGGCCCGATGCTTCCGAGCATGCAGGTAATTGTCCCGGACCATTTGACATGCCATTAGACATTACAGAGGGGTTTTTCTGTAATTATAAATATTAATGTTTATGAGATGGTTGACTAAACGTAATAGTTCAAAAACAGTATTATAAACATCAAGATACTTACGGTGTCCCAGGGCATTTCACCATCAGCACCGAGGCCGTCCATGACACCGCAGGACGGGGTGCTTCCTGGAAACCCATCCATGGGACCCATACCAGGACCCATTTGACCCATCTGTCCAGGTCCACCTTTCATCATCATCATTTGATTACCTGGTCCACTCATTCTGTTTGGCCCCATCATACTAGGACCCATATGACCCATTCCACTGTGACCCATCGGCCCCATGTTGGGGCCCATAGGTCCACCCATCATATGACCCATTTGATTGGGTCCTCCAATCATGTTAGGCCCACCTCGCATTCCACCCCGTGTTTTTGCCATAGCTAAATTGTTCAACCACTGAGCAGGACTTTGTTTATTGAACTGACCAATTTTTAATGGGTGTTTCTGTTGAATATACAAAACGTCTTTGAAACACTTTTTTAAATTACAGTACAAATTAAAACACGATCATGAAAGGCACTTTAAATAACAATGTTGTACAAAAGACAATCAGTAATATTTTCAGCCCTTATAAAATTCTTACCTCTAAGTATTTCTTAGTTGCAGGTTGAGCACAATGGTATGCAATAATGGAGTGGTGCTGACCGGAAAGCACTGCTTCTGCTCCTTTATTTGCCATCATTGTTGAGAATACGAAGATTTGACTTTGCTGCTGGGACAATTATCCATTGTTTACTATATGATTCTTATGTATTAAATATTATAATCCAAACATTATGCAAATGACAAAATAATCCAGACATGGTTATTATTAATATTTATTTATATTATAATAATGGTGATACAGATATGATATTGACAAAATGTCTTTTCGCATTAAAAGTGTACAATTTCTAAAAATATTCTAAATTGAGTTAATATGCGGAATCATTTGGTATCACCAGTATTTTTCTCATAAATACTGTCAAGACAGCGTAGTTCAGTTTTTTCTTTTTTTTTACTTTACATATGTTTTGACTACTATTAACAAAATTAATACATCATTTTATTTTACTTTAAAAGACAGATAATGTAACTGGTAACAAATAAAAAATAAATGTTGGAAAGATGATTAATATTAAAAATACCACATGTTCAACCTTTAAAAGATTCTCCCGTAAAATTAGTAAATTTTGAGATTATACAGTTTTAATGCGAGAAGACGAAAGTTTTGAAAATTATTAGTATTAAAGTGATTTTTTTGCTATTATCTGCTTTTATTTTAGTTTTATGATATTATTTCTGGTACAATCGAAATATCTGTCAGGTTTCGTGTATCCAGCAACGGATGCCTGTAACACTTTTATTAACCTATGCAACAATTATTATTTGACCCCATTGTGAATTGTTTGGTAAATTGAATACTATTATGTTCTATTTGCCATATTATTGGTATTTTCTTGATTTGATCAATTCAATTTAATTTCAATTTTAAAGATCGAAAGTCAGTTTTACAATTTAGTCTTGAGCATATTTTATGTAATTTACAATAGTTTAATTAATCAAAAAAGACTATCACTTCTAAAACTTTTTTTTTATTGCCTTGAAATTTTGAAAATTTATTTCATATAAATATTTGCTTACCTCCATGCTGCCAGACTGCTTGCTCATTACATTCGATGGAAGTGTTTGTGCTTCACTGGCAGACATAGGGCCCATAGAAACCCCAGGACCCATAGGCCCTCCACCTCCCGCCATTCTACACGAACCCATGTTATCTGGGCCATTTGGATTACGACAGTTTGGGTTTCCATCCTAAAAGTAGGTATAGAGGTATAGTGATTTTAAGTACCCTCACAGAAAATTCAGCGTGTGACTTGACCCAATTTATTATTTTACCTGAAGATTATTTGTCGAGCTTCTGAGGCCTGTCTGTGGATCCAAAATGTCGTTCGAGTCTGAAGATAGTCTTTCTGATTTTAACGAACCAGGTCCACCCAGTTCGCAGGAAGGTGATTTTGTTGGGTCACCTATGAAAAATTGGGAATTTCAGTTAGTCTGGTTTGAGAATTGATTTTAAAAGTAATTTTTAGTTATTGTTGGTAGTTAGTTAGGATTAAAAAGTTATCTCTCTTTTACTTTCCTATTAAAATAACTATTGAAATTTATGTATTATATTTCATTCCTTCATCTTATATTCCACTAACTTTTACCGTCGCTGTCCATGAGGCCGTCGATCTCTGTTTTAATGCCGTCAACTCCAAGGTCTGACGCAGAATCTTCGCCAGAGGGCTGACTATGGGGTTCTATCTTCACACGATGCGTGTCTTCTGGTTCTTTCTTCAGCGCCGCCGGAGTGGGGAGCGACGCCGAGGGCGGACGGGAACCGTGGCCTAGTAATTTATACATTGATTGGCTTTGGAGACGAATTTGGAGAATTTACTAGGTTACTCAGACCAATAGACCTAATAAAAATAGTTTTCTACCTATATAATAAATTGGCATAAATTTGGAAGCCATGTCATTAAATGCAGAGATCACATTCAATAAAAGTATTAAATTTATAGTCATTTCTAAATTTTAATGAAAATAAATAGATTTCCACTTTATTGCAAATTTTATTATTATATAAAGTGTAAATCTTTAGTGATTAATTTAATAGTATATTTTTCCACTTGAATGGCAGATGGGTTAATTAAAAAAAAATTAAATTATAATTTAACAATCTAAGTTTTTTAGTACGAGATAAAAGAGTAAGAAATTATCTAGTTAATTTTAATTTTACAAAATATCATCATCATCAATTGTCAAAGTTTTACTATTAATTTGTCTCTATTAACATAGATCTAGTGAATCTCAATTGCCCTTGCCCCATATAGTTTGATTGCAACGGGATATTTTTGTTACAATAAGACAATGAAATAATAATAAAAAGTTGTTAGTGCTATTTCTTTCACAAGCTCAGGGCCAGAGTGGGATAGCCATGATTTCAAAGCAATGAATACATTTAACTGGTGTTTCACATAAGAGGTAACATTAATTTTGCATTATCTATGTGCTCCATTAGTTAATTAATGTTACAGATCTCTGCCTATGTAAGTTGACTAATGATTGTTCTCTAAATCCAAACAAATCTAAGATTGAAGATTACAATAATAAGAAGAAAAAGTTTTAATTCTGCCTGAAAGCCACATATAACAGAACAACAAGTACACCTAAACTGGGAGTTTTAAATTTGTATAAAAGATAATTAATTTGGCCAGAAATTAAACACAGTCTCATGAAAGAGAAGTCAGGATTATTAATAACTAGATCAACAAAGGGGCCAACTAAAATAGGGCAATTGAAATAAAATTGTATTTTTGCAATTTCGAGATTTACTTTTTTATTTCTTTTGTGTACCTAATACTTGTATATTTTATTAGTTTAGTGGCACATAATTATATTAAGGTGATAATTTGAGTTTACGAGAAGAAAGAAAATACCAGGCTCAGCAGGGTCACTGGGCTCGTCCTTGAGGCGGGCACCTCCACCCTTCTCCTTCTCCTTAATCATACCTCTGCGTGCCTTCGCCAACTTGACTGTAAGCAAAAATTCTTAGATTGTGAATCTTATATATATGATTTCAGCCCTTATTAAAATATGACCCTATTATTTTATTTCATATTAGGTTTTCACTATCATTTTTATTGTGTTTTGCGTTATCATTAACTTGTTTTCACTTTTTATGCCATAGGTGGACTGATGGCATGTTTGCGAAAGGTAAACAGTATTTTAAAAAGCATCCCAAAATATTTGAAATTTAAAGTATTTTCATGAAAAAAATTTTTTTTTTCTGGTGAAATATCATAGGAATGTTGTTAGCTCACTGTAGTTTATCACATAATATGAAGAAATGAATTATATAGGTTTAAATTATTGTTTATAGATATATTTGATTTCAGTATAACTTTATTGAAGACATTTTTATAAATTTAATTTTTTTTTTCTCATATGTCGTTAAATGATTATCTTAGTTAATTCGACAATGTTTATGGTGTCTTCATTCATATGAAATAAACAATAATGCAGTCTGTCCAAACGATATTACTTCGCGCGATTTTATCGTAGTCGAGCAAACAATTGGCACCTGTCCCACAAATCTACTGTACGGCACTTCATTACAGGAATGTCATTATATTGCACCAAATGATCGAGATGTTATTATAAATAGAGATCGCGGAAACCTTGGCGGTCGGGGGACGCCGTGACAATCAGCCGTCTCCGTCAGAGCACTTACACAGCTCTCACACACCTGATCCCCTCGACATTTTCAACAAAAAAGAGAATACGCGCCGAATCACCATAAAAATTCCTGGCTTATTCTCCATACATAAACAATGAGATAAGTCGGGTGTAGACAGGCGCGAGCACACGAAACGCACGTTTACTATGGCCGATTTATTGCTTCGATTGCATCTTTNTCAGCCGTCTCCGTCAGAGCACTTACACAGCTCTCACACACCTGATCCCCTCGACATTTTCAACAAAAAAGAGAATACGCGCCGAATCACCATAAAAATTCCTGGCTTATTCTCCATACATAAACAATGAGATAAGTCGGGTGTAGACAGGCGCGAGCACACGAAACGCACGTTTACTATGGCCGATTTATTGCTTCGATTGCATCTTTGGACTGAGATGACACCGTAGAAGTAAAAACTTAAAATTATTTTATATCATTCGTGTGATCTAATTAAAGTATGAGGATGGATATGCAGAAAGAAACAAAAAATCGGGATCGCTGACATTTTTGTTTATGGTACTTATATGAGATCCAGAATCCACAAATAGCGATTAAACGTACACGATTACCGCCTCACGACGGATTCACTTGCACTTGATGACACAAAACACTGTGTTTTATCACATTTATGTAAGTCTCATCGTATTATAAAAACCAGATTTTAATAAAATTCTTTCTATCAGCATTAACACAAATCACCACGCACACACAACACAACATACATATATGCGACAACACTAGCGACGGCCATCTTCCGATTCTTGCGATACACTAGAATCGATATAAATCGGTATTCGTGTTATAATTTTTGAGAGTGTGATTTAAAAATGAAGTAATAAATTTCAGAAACTCCTATTCGATTCGTACGTTATTTTCAAAACAAAAGCGTAAAATAAAAGAAATTTCTTGAAAATATAATATTATCGTCAAGCATAACTGTAAGAATTGTGTTGATGAACGAATATAATAGGATGACTTCTTTCTTGATTTTAAGCTTCATTAGGTTATAATATAAAATTTAACAGGTCAGCCAGTTGTAAGTCACTATGAAAGGGAAAGAACTTCTCTTAGAAAAGTTACCTTTCACAAACAATATCCACTTTTGACTTAAATGCTGACTTGCTGACTCGACTTGTATAATTGTAGCCTCTATACTACACTTACGTTACCCATTTTAATAAATCAAGGAATCAAGATTTGTTGTCACACAGTCATCTCTGAGGCTCTGTGCATGTCCTGTCTATCAATAGTACCCTAAGTTACGGATGAGAAAATCAATTATTAATAAAATAGGTTACCCAAAATTTAAAAAAACTGAAGAAAATGACAAAAATCATTTCATAGCATTAAGATGTGTCTTGACACCAGGAATTACAGCACACTTTTCGAATATAACTCTAATTTGAAAAAGTTTTATAGCTGCAGGAAATATTTCGATTACAAAATTTTAAAATCGATCACTAAACATGGACTGAGCAACACTAGTATATTTTACTAATGCTTGTTCGGATACATAAAATGTTAAATTACAGGATTCTTGCTTCAAAATATCAATGAAAACTCTAATCGATAATATTCTAGATGAAAAATTGCAATATCTAAAAGTAAAGTAACACTTGATTTAGAAGTAATATAATTTTTCATTATTAATTTGAAAGCTTTCCGATTTGGAAAGCGTCCTATACGCGTAATGTGATAATTATAAAATTAAAAATTCAAATTAAATGAAACAAATAATAAAGCAACGTAAGATTCTCATATAGAAGGGTGAAATGTATTGCCTACATAAAGCAACTGTCTACCCAAAGATTAACGATGTCAGAGCATTTAGTTTATTTTTGTTTGCATGTTGAGTTGATTAATTATTTTGGTATCTTAATTTTGGATTAAAAGATATACAGACAAATCTTTTGAATACTCGTTTAAAAACTACCAGTGATTGTTGCCCCTGAAACACAGTGGAAGAGATTTTATTCCAGTAACGGATGGTAAAAGGAAAAAAATATTTCTGTGAATGATATGAGTGATGAAATGACAATTAAGCGTCTTGCTGGTGTCCAGAAGATTATCCAGCTTCGCCAGAACATACAAACGTGCTTCAACGCTCAGCATTGTTCTACTAAGTACCATTATTTGAAGCCTAACAGCCCAAGGGCAATTAGTTCATGAATGCATCTAGGTATAACTTATGTAAATTTCATGTTGGATTCTTCGGCGAGAGTATGCCACAGTGAGCGTAGATCTTGATAGGATTTCATTACAGACCATATCGAACATTTAGCCATTTTTTATTATTAATTCCCATTATATGTCTACTTTTAATCTGGCTGCCGTTCTATAGGCTAACTTAGAACCCTTTAGATTCGTTGCTCAATATGCAAGGTTTTTTTGTAAGGTTCAATAACCAGGATAACTTTTACTTACTAGAGCATTACATTACTCACAATTATGTGAAGGATGTCTCTTGTAGCTAAGCAAGTCTATACTTTTATCACATTTCTGCTTTGCACATTCGCAATTCTGCTTTTGACTATTATACAGTGGTGCTGTATGTGAATATTGGCAGAGTCAATCTTCTGTATATCCAGATCAGAGTTTAATGGTGAATGCATGCAATGCACTTTATTCAATTTTCATCGATGATTTTGATCTCTGGCTTCGAGGCTATGTTCCTTTTGCGAGTCCAGGTTGACGATTGATCAAAGTTAACCAAAAACTGTCTATGATTTTACGGTGAAGGGAGGAGGGACGATTTCGCTTCGTTGTCGCCCAATATTTAATTTTGTGGTGATTTGTGTAAAAAATTTATAGTTGAACTAAAATTTGTGAAGTTATCTGGTGCATCTATGTATGAAAGTTACTTTATCCGGTTACCTTTTGCTCGTTTACCGTGAAATATAACATACCGACCGCTCCCTAGGCGTAGATTTGTACGTCAGTCGCGTATTATTTTCCATGCCTGTTTGTACTGTCTACTAGCATTAGTAGGGGCCGTGATGGTAAAAGCTATTGGAAAGTGTACCCATTAATGAAACTTCGCGAAAATCGTATCCCACGTTCCGTTTTATGTGATTCTCGTGTTTAGTAGTTTAGAAGATTGTGGCCATTACGGTGAGTGCCTTCTACGTTGTGATATTTACGTGTCGTTTTACGATATTACATGTTGATGATTACTCGTCAGTTCAACAATAACATGAAATGAAATGCGGGTTTTCATAAATAACAAAACATGGCATATATCGCTCATGTGATAATCAGTGCAACAACTTAGTGGCTTGATCACTTATTTGAAACAATAATCATGGATTTTTTCTATTATCTTTTGATTTAAGTGCTCGAATTTATATAAAAATAAGATAACTTGTTTCCCTGTATCTTAAGATGGTTTTGCCTTTAAATAATAAAAAAAGAAATGTTACATAGTTATAGAACTCTTAGTAAAAATGTGTATAGTTCATAAAATTAACATATTTTAATCTTTATTAAATTATTTTGAATATAAAACTAATATAATAGATTAATTTTAATAATTGAAATTTGACTAAAATTTATGCACATAAAATTTTATTTTTTAATAGTATTAGATAGCTTGTCCTACTGATATTGATGAACTGTAAGTACTGATATCTCATAGGCTTCATACAACAAAATACTTCAATTCATTCTTGTTTGGTATCTTCTCTCATAGTTTGACATTTCTAACCTTTTACAGTAGGTGTGATAATGAAAGATTGACCGAGAACTATTAGCTTTTGAGAGTTAGATTTTAGTTATATCAAACAATTCTCCATTCTATATATCCCTGAGCTGCAACAGTTCTATTGAGAATAATAAGTCACAGCCAAGATTAAGGCTCTTTCTTCATGATATTTTTTATGCGCAAATTACACAGTCTGTCCTGGTTTTTCTATGTACATTTTAGCTCTGTCACTAGAATAAGCTTGTCTTGCTGTATTATTGAATAGAAATTTGAAGTACATATAATAACCAAAATTCAACCCACAAAATTAATGAAAAAGTCAGAGAAATTCATTTCTATAAGTTAAAATAAAAAAAATACACTTCATTCTTATTATCCAAGATTGATAGAACACATAGCAAGCATTGACTGAGAAGTTTTATAGAAATATAATTCCTGATTTAGGAAAACTTTTAATAGAATGAAACATTAAAAATTCATTGAATATGAAAGTGTGACTGCTATTTACATCACATATTTGTTTCAAATTAATTAAAAATAACTAAAATAAAATAAAGAAATTAATAATTATAGTTAAAGGTGAATTAATGTATTTACATCTAAGCAGCCGCAAACTCAAACATGGAAATATTATGTTTATGTTGCAATCTTATTAATTTATGCTCTTTACAATACAAAGAAGTTTTTTTTTTTCCAAATAATAAAATATTGGTTCTATAGATTCCCTTTCATAATATTTTTTTTCTGACAATTTCCAAGCAATTACTTAGGAATCGAAAATATATTTTTTATTCTTAACAGTGTTTATTCTACAATATTTCAAAATTATATCTCAAGAACTATAACTATAACCAAAATACTTTGCTCAAAGAAATATTCATTAGATGTTTTTTCTAAATTAAATTTACGTGATGGAACTGTCAGCTTCGAAAAACACATTTTTAGAAACCACTCAACTTTGAAATTTCATCTATGTATATGAATGGTGCCAATGGATTCCAAGTAAAATTATTGGGACATTCAGGTGGAGGGACAGACATGACGAAATTATTATTGACTAAATTTGTTACAGAACTATGGAGACCGAACCCAAAAATAGTTGATGAAAGCAAGTTCCGGGGAATATAAAATTAATTTAGTCTGGTTTTTTAGTTCAATGATGTTTTTTATTTTGGTTCAAAAAAGTACGAAACGCGGTTTTTGTGTCTTTTAAGGTCATAAATTTGGCTATAGAAGAGTTGAGGAAAGATAATTTTGGTTAAAAATTTTAATAGTGGACTATCTCAGTAATGTCAATGCCAGGGTATAATGTTTAGTATAATAGAGGGCATAGATAATATGTATGCGTACCCACAATAAATACATATAATATGTACTGATTGTAGACATATTTTATTTTTCCAATCACAGCTATCTCAAAACATACATTATGTTGTACTAAACTAATTACCGTCGCAGTTAACCGCGATAAGATGCATCGCTGTGAACGAAAGCCACTCGTTCCTTGAGTAAAGATGAAATAATACACAAGCATTGATTTGTTAGCCCGATTTTTATTTATTTATAAACAAAAATTTGCAAACTATAGAAGTCGTCGTGGCCTGAATGTTAAGACGCCTGGGGTTCTCGTATCAAACGATGCGAATAAACCTATGTTCGAATTCCGCTGGCAGACATCAATTTTTTAAGTGAAATACGTACTTAGCACACGTTCACATGAATTATTACTATGAAGAAATAACATCAATAGAGAGAGAGAGAGAGAGAGAGATCAATACTCGGTGTAATAAAAATCATACTCGAAAATTTACAATTAGCGTAATTACTATGAAATTGAGTCATTGACCTCAAGTCTTAAAGCGGGTGGCGACAATTAACGTTGGTGTTAAGTGGTTACCAGGCCCTGTAGTGATCAGAACTCAGAACAATAATGTTGCCATTCATTTTGAGATATAACTTTATGGGTCTCAGTTGTAAAGTAACGCCTCTCCCACTCTTCGAACCAGAACGCATGGATCACGGTGTAAAGGCAATTATTTTTACAAATATCGACGATATTAGGCATTGACCAACGCGGGAACTCCATCCTGAACTCGAGACATTAAATTATGACTTGATTACAAAAGGAATACGTTTTTAAATGCACGTGAATTCAAAAATAGACAACCAAAACTTATTGGTGGTAAAAAAACATGGTCTTCATTAGGTCTTTCATATTCATTAATCCATAGACACCCCACTGAGTTTCTCGCGAACCTTCTTAGTGGGTCGCGATTCCGATCCGGTGGTAGATTCTACGAAGCACTGCTCTTATTTGGGCTAGTATTAGCAAATTATGTCAGGTTGAGTCCGTGAGCTCACCTACCCGTCCGGACGTAACTGGAATAGCCTCTTAGGCTACCAGCGATTAGGTAGGAGAAAAAAAAATTATTAGGTAAATTTTGGTGAGCTTAAAACCGACGAGTTCTGGTTACAAATTCACTGAAATGAAAAATTGCCGACAAAGAGAAGAAATTTGTTTGACAATTGTTGGTTAGTGACCCCGTAGTTCATAGACATCTGAAATATTCAGTTTTGACGAATAAACAAATAGTTAACGAACGCACTCATCGTTTGAAAACCCGATCCTTTTTCTACTCACATATCAATCACATATTAAATATATGTATGTGTATAATAAAAATCTTACATTTATTTATGTTATCTGGTACCTGTAACACAAGTTCTTTACGAAATTATCACGGGAACAGTTAACGTGGCGTGTTTAAAAAAAAAAAAATCAAATCAAAGGTTACCAATTTGTGATATATATTTGTTTTAATAATTATATTATAACTAAATAACGTATTACAGCTTTGTAATTTATAGTCTGGTTGCTAATATCAATAAACGTATTGGCCTTTGAATTACTAACTCAAAATCCACTACGTTGATTTACTGACGACTTTAAAAAGATTGTAAACGAGACAGATTGTTTTTGATTAATTCTTCTCTTACGCAGTAGCGGGTCTCACATTTTTTGCGAAGATTCTTTGTACCTCTGATAGTGACATTGGCAACTTTTTTATCGTGTAAAAATGACACGAGTTTTATTATATTTTATTTAAAAATATGTGCCGCATTTTGAGACAAGAAAATTGAGTACCCATACTTATTGTATCTCTGTTTAAATGCATCTGCAATGCAGAAGAAATTTATAGATTTCAGTGGAAACTGGTGGTAAGACCTCTTGTGAGTCCGCGCGGGTAGGTACCACCAGCCTGCCTATTTCCGCCGTGAAGCAGTAATGCGTTTCGGTTTGAAGGGTGGGGCAGCCGTTGTAACTATACCTACTTGAGACCTTAGAGCTTATATCTCAAGGTGGATGGCGCATTTACGTCGTAGATGTCTATTTCCAGTAACCGCTTAACACCAGGTGGTTTGTGAGCTCGTCCACCCACCTAAGCAATAAAGAAAAAAAAATAGAAACAAAATTCAAATGTTTTTTATAATTGAATATAGTACAAAAATTCGTTGAGTAATCATAAACGTTTTCAGGTGTCGCCTTGTCAGCGTTACTGTGCTATCGGGTTTGAAGCATAAAATGCCCTTATCGTTCAGTACACCAGCCGACTTTTAGACGGGCCGGTTGCCTAGTCATGATAATCATACCACATCAGAAATGGAAGGCGTGAAGAAAATACATTCGGGTACACTGTATCGGTGAGTTTTCATTATTTATCTTCTACTTCATTTGTCAAGAAATGGACAAAAACATTTTTCATTTTTTTTAAAAGTTTACTTGCATTATCTTTCTGTCGTTTAACATAACTCCCAAGAATAATCATTACTCAGAGATTTTTATTTATAACTAGTGGACCCAGCGAACTTCGTTCCGCCACACGGTTTGTTTCAAACACATCAACCGGTCAACTTCAAAATTCTACTATAATTAACCATAGAATATATTATGTTTAGCTGTCAGTTGCATTTTATTATTCCATATCAGTTGCGTTTTGTTATGCCACGTTTTATGTCACGTCCCATGGGAACGTAATAAAAAGTCCTTCTTCTGGTTCTAAGCTACCTCCTCACCAATTTTCAGCCAAATCAGTTCAGCCGTTCTTGAGTTATAAATAGTGTAACTAACACGACTTTCTTTTATATATATAGATAATAATAATAATAATAAATTAAACAACGTAACCAGTACAACTGTCATTCGCCGTTTCCACGACTCATGCCGAAGGATATTCGGACAAATGATACAGGTCAATCGTCTCAGACGTCCTTTGAGGACTTATAATGAAGTAGTTAGTAAATCCTTTGTTATATATAGACCCCCTGTATGTATTAATGTATTAAAAAAAAAACTAATTTAACAAAGTCATTAATGAAAAAGAAGTGGTTTGAATGATTGAACAAATAAAACCTGTGTTTTAAATTCGATAACTGAATACTTGTTCTCATTTAGTTGAAATTTTTATTTTTTTGTACCCTCAAGAAAATTAACTAGAATTTATATTGTGTACAATAATGTATTTATTAATCACAAGCAGCCCGCTCCGGCTCCGCTCGGGTCTTTAACAAAAATTTCAACGATATTTGACTTTTTTTTACATAAAAGAACACTTATTTCGGCATAACTATTATTAGTTAGACGTATGCTGTTGCGACACTTTTTGTAAATAATAATGTGTTCTACAAAGTCATACTACATTATTTTATTCTATCATCAATAGTTTTCACAGGGCACGCGATGTAAAGAATATTTTAAGTAATTTTTTTACACCTTGGGTTACATTATTGGAGTTTTAGTAAGGATCCCTAATTTTTTTCAAAAAAGATAGCCTATGTCACTCGATAATAGTGTACCTTCTAAACGCTGAAAGAATTTTTCAAATCGGTTCAGTGGTTTCGGAGCCTATTCAATACAAAAAAAAACAAATCTTTCCTCTTTATAATATTATTAGTATAGATGTATATATTATACTACTTGCAAAGAGTAGAAAGTAAATGTATTGGGAACCGTGGTTGCCAAACTGATCTGCTATATTATCATCATGATGATGATATCAATCGTTGTAGCTTTCTACCATACGTCCGATAAATAATTTATCTCTAGTCTTCAATATATGTATCTCAGTTGGAATAAATAAAAATAAAAACTACAAACCATTGATTTTTAGGTATTTTTATATGACAAAAAATATTTTTTCACGACAATGACGGAAGCTAGAGATGTAGTAGTAACACCGTTTTTTTTTCCACAAAAAATACAAGCACCTGTAATATAAATAACGTGAGCTTCGTACAGTGGAATAACAAACCGGTCGTCAATGTATCGCGATCCGACCTGGCGGGCTAGTTCTGACTAAGTGGGGTATCCCGGGACACCAGCGGAACCGTACCGCGAAGACCGGTGTCGTTGATTGTCGATGATCGCCTCGACGATCCGTCTTTCGGATGCCCTCGGGATGGCGCCTTGAGTCTGATTGTAGTGTTGACCGCGGGAACCCTCCTCCTCCTCTGCCCGGGTTCTGACCCCGGGCGGAGATCGGTTGTCGAGTGAGAGAGTGCAAAGAAAGTCATTTTGTGGGTAACACCCTCCATACCCGATCCTGTGGACCGAATGGTAAACAGTCGACGTCGCCCTAAGAACGTCATTACGGATCTACCCGATCCATTAACGATGCTTTTAGGTACCTCAAGCAGCGGTAACCGTCCTCGTCGAACCTGTCGCTTGCGATGAAGGGCTCGGCGAGTGAATTAAGAGCTTCTCGCCGCATCTTCTCAGTGGGTCGCGTTTCCGATCTTCTGGTAGATTCTGCGAAGCACTAGTCTTGTTAGGGACAGTGTTAGCAACACTCCCGGTTTGAGCTCCGTCAAGGAGAATCTGAAATAGCCTCTCAAGGCTATCAGCATAGGTAGGATAAAAAAAAAACACCCTAAAACATTGTTGGGTCCGCGGTCTGCTCCCAACATCTGCAGATCGTAAAGACCCACATATCCCGCACGCCCCCTAGGCGCAGAATCTTCGCGGTTGGCCCGACCCCTATTCGAAAAAAAAGTCTTCTCACATCAGGGGGACGAGTAGAAAAATGTAGGAGTGTGCAATTTGGACGAAGAATTTTCAGCATTGGATTTTAAATCGGTCTTCATGATGATATATGTATGGACGGCCGCCCTTAAAAATCTTCAAACGATACTCGCTGTTCAAACAAAACGGACGGCATCTTAATGTGGCAGCAAACAGCACAATAGTCTATAAACTACACAAAGCCGGCGGGGTGGGATACCCCACAGTGGTAACCCAAACCATCAATTACACACATCTAATCTATTACTACTAAGTAGGAATTCCATATGAAAAAAACACTCAACATTTCGTTCGTTTGAGAACGATTTCTAAATTAAAGTCCTATTAGTTTGATCCGAAGCTGCGAAGGTAAGGTCGCATCCGTTCAGTGAAGATCATTGTTCAAATCCATTGCGCATACCGACCAGTATTCCTCAGCGTATAAAACGGGGATGTGATTTAAATATAGTATACAAAATGCTATTAATGCGAACAATTGTCTCCGAATCGGATCTTGTTCGTTTAGATATTGTAAAATTTTAGAAAACATACTTAATATTATACTATTTTACTAGTATCTTGTATATCACTATACAATGAATTTTAGGCATTACTATTAAACATAATGGAATAACCTTTTGGAAGAAACTTGTGATAATTCACTTTTTTGTGGTTGATCCAAGATTGTAGTCTCAATGTTTCAATTATGAATAACGAAGAAAGGTACTTAAATTTTGTTTTTTATAAGCAAAAAAGTTTAGGAAACTGGCTTCCTGGTCGTTTTCGATCGTACGAAAGATAGAATCGATCAATCTCGCATTGTCTGCGCTATTAAGAATAACTTTTTTTTATAGCCTTATAATATTATTTCAATTGCTCGTCACACTTCGGAGTCCAGTCTTGAGCGAGCAACACATAAATAAATGCAAGACCGGACGGAAAAATTAATCCGTACTTGTGCAAAATAGACCTCTAAGAAGTTATAGTTAAGTGTTTTACTAACACAAATATTCCTTTGTTTTAAGCTAAGCGAAGAATAAAAGAATCACAAAAGTAATATCCTCGAGTACCTCTCGTAATTAAATAAATTGTTCTAGAGACTTGAGTGTTGGTACGAAAGATCTTGAAGTGTTTGTTGTTGGACGCAAGCAGTTATTACGGCCGTCTATGTTTAATAGAAATTACTTTTGTCCACTAGTAAAACTTAAAAATTTTAAGCATCTAGATTAATTGAACTATTTTTTTTTATTGCCTTTTTAGGCAGACGAGCATACGGCCCACCTGATGGTGAGTGGTTACCGTCGCCCATGGACTTCAGCAATGCTAGGGGTAGAGCCAAGCCGCTGCCTACTGCTAATTTAATACATATGAATTTGATTATGGATAGGTGAATTATAACACTTATGATATCTTTGTAGGGAACTAATGAACGCTTACCATGAATAATGATAGTTATATTTAAAAGTAGAATTGTCGCAGGCGCGTTGAGTTTTCTTGTTGAGTAGCGCGGTCCACAGCTATTTGCTATAAAATCAGCAATTCTAATGCAATTGAGAATACGTGTCTCATGGCTGATATTGTCAATGGGCTGCGTTAAACGCTAACAAATTGATTCGCAGGTTCGTTTACAGAACTTTGCAAATAAACGTGTCGTTCTAGTCACACATTAAATTAATTGCATGAAGCATCATTATTAAATTGTAACATAGTTGGTTCTCGGTTTTGTGTTTACCTATTTCTAAGAATATTTGTTTTGCGTCTAAAAGTCTAAAGGGACAGAAAAATCGGTCAGTGATTTTAGAAACGAATGCTCTGCGTCAACTTTACCCGTAATCATATAAGTTATGAATTTCGGTGAGTTTCAGTATTGGAAACGGACGAAAACTCTCGATGGTTTGGATGGATGACCTATTCTACATAATTCAGTATGTACGAAGTATTGTACGCGAGCTATATATTCGCATTTCTACCAAATTTTTTTCGTGAATTTCTTCAATATTAGACTCACATGATAGACGAACTTCAAATGTGGTGCTAGAGAAAAATGCTCGAGATGATTTCGAATTCCGCACCGAATAGTCCGTTCTTCAGAAACTGAACATAATCGAGCGCTTCTCGTACACATGGCGGTCTTGTGGCCTAACATTTTCTTGGATTTATACCACGCATTGTGGATCATTTGTGCCTGGTGCAGGGCAAAGTAGAGGGTGCCAGACCGCGAGGAAGACCCCCGGTAAAGCCGACTGACCAAGCTACAACGAATTGTGCCCTACATCTAAGCAACAAGATTGGAGATTGAAAAGAGCAGTTGTGTCGGATTGTAGAATTATTAACTAAACACATGACGGCCATGATTACTCTGTCAAGAATGTAAAGACAAGGAAAAAGGAGCCTTAAAAACTTTGCTTTCAGTTTTATATTAAATGAAAGCTATTATAATAATTGATACCTGAAAACGGTACGGTACGAGAGGTATACTCTAGCGACTTATTAGCGTTGCATTAGTATTCTTAATGGCACGGGCGGCGTTTGCAATTAATACTCGGAAAGGTAGCTTCCTCTTCTAGCACCGCCTTAGTTAATAAATAACAAAAAAATCGTAATTTTTTTTTCAGGATTTTAAGTAGTTCTTTCGTTTTATCAG